TGCTTCTTAATATCATGTTCCATTAAGCTACAAGCAATATAAACGGATATTTTCCTAGTCGTTAAACGTATAGTACTTATAAATCATCTTGCAAATTACTGTATCACCTGAATTCATGTATTATGTTGTCATTTTTTAACCTATACTAATGAAAAGAAACGAATCTATTATTCAAATCAACGCAAGCTCGTTGCATTAATTTTAATTTTTAAAAATAATGGCTCGTCATCTCTACTTTTGATTCCGCACTTTATCATTCAAACATTTCTAACGTAATAGCGATGTCTCCAAGTCAGGAAGCCGCGTTCATCCAACACGTAATGGGAATTCATTAAAAACGCATTGATTAATGGCTCGTGTCAAATCTAAATTAAGCAAAAAGAAAAATAACCAGATGCGCTTCATCTTTCAACGTCTAATCGCGTTTTCTTTGCCGATACTTCCATCATCGGAACGCGATGCTCGTGTAATTAATTAATTTCCACTGGCTCGGTGTTGCGGTACAGCTTTGTTCCCTGATATTTTGGTCCTTATTGTGGACTTCGGTTGAAGATCAAGAAATTTTGCCATGTTTTTATCGTTCAACGTGCTAATTACTTTAAAACGATTAGAATTTACGGATAGCTGCACGTGCTTCTTTATCCATCGAAAGCCTTGCCACCTGTCGGTCATATTCCTTTTTCTTGATAATTTTACCTCGAATTCCTAAAAACGAGCAGATTAGAATTACCTATACGGTAGATTTATCTGCAGATTGAAAATTGCTAACAAGAGCTATTAGCAGATTTCATGTCAAGTGGATCTGTGATGAGCTCGAGACTACGGAGAGTAGGGTAATTAGAATCAACTGCTGTTTCTTGTGCGATATACGAGTTATGGTATCTATAAACCTCCAAAAATCATTGTTAACGCAATATCAAAATAACGTTTATTTATACTATCAATATTTTTGATATTTTTGGCATTGTTATTATTGTCGTTGTTGTTGTTGATTTTTTAAGATTGTATTTCAAGTAACGGTTTTTACAAAATATTTCGCGCCATATTGCTTTCAACATGGCGACAGAGAACGTGTTAATACGGTATCTTCATCGTATAAGGAAAAGGGCACTCGTCCATCTTCGTATCGATTAACTTATATTTTGAAACGAATAGTATGAACTATAATAGTAAACATTTTTAAGTATTCTGCGAATTTACGTCTTTGGACTTTTCAACGTTTTAAGCACAATGATTAATTATCTCCGCTTTATCTGGCCGCCATCTTTAGATTATATCGCAAACATGTTCGAAATGTAATTGTCGTTTGACGTCGTTGAAAAGAAGGGCGTTAATTCGTTTAACGTTTCATCGTTATTAAAGAATCAGCATATTCGTGAATAGATGTTGGCAACGAGGTAGGAATCAGCATTCTATTTTTAACCTATATTTCTTCCCTATCTTTCTAAATATACTTAATCGCGTGCTTCTTGTTAATCTTAAGTCTCAGATTAGGGCTAGGTGTGAGATTAAAGAGAAGATAAAATAAATTCGCGTAATTTTTATTTTATCGGCAAAATTTTGTTTCACTCAATGCGAATCACCGATAACGAACGCATCGTCGTCTTTAACTGCAACAGTACGCGGGTATAACGTATATAAACGTGTATATAATACATCGCCGTGAAAGAGATTCAACAAGATCTTACGAAGGAAAGTTCGAACATATAACTTTTCGATAAAATTTTACATTACGATGGCACACGTGCTAGCGATGCTATTAATATATTGTTTTAGGTATTCATAGTTCACCAGATATTTAACGTATGCAGGTAGGATTACGGATTCGGGTAAGATTAGAAAAAGTCGTACGCATTCGGGTAAATTCGGACGAATTCGGCTTACCACGATTTACCCCGATTTACCCCGAGTTGAGGCCATTTGCAATTTTGTGAATAACCAAGTACGAAATCGTATCCCAAACCGAACATATCCGATTTGTCCCGACTCTGAACTTTCGTATCCGACATATTTGACGTCGTGCGCTACCCTATGAGATATTTAATGTAGGGAGAGCTAATTTATCCGGTGCAACGTGTCAAATTGTATGGTCAATTGAGCAAATTTATTTGCAGCTATCGAACAACGTATATCAGGTTTGTTATAAAATTACACGAGATTGACCACCTTATATTATGATATAAAGATCTCGTATAACATTCCGTATTTTTTAGCAAGGACCGAATCAACGATAAAGATAATCTTTCTTCGTTTGACCGATTCCACAACCTCTTCCATCGTTCTTGTAATACTATTGCGAAATATTTTCCTCTAGATTTTACGTAATATTAATGATAAAAAGCCATAAATCAAAATGTATAGCAATTTTTGCGAGTGTACAGAAATTCACGAGAAACTCTATATATAACCTTGGAAATGGATTATTGCCAATGACGGTAGTAAGATAACCTAAAAGAGCTCCACCTTTTTCGAATACACGTAACCTGAAGAATCATATCGGAATAAAATCGCGTATATCTAATTTTCCATATAGATAAACTAAAGTAACGCGAAAGTAATAACCAACAATCCATATTAAAATATTTCCATTAAACCGAAGTTTCCCTTTAAAAAAATACGTTTTATTCACTAAAAGTGAAAAGCACCGAACGAAAGAGAACGTCGGGGTGAGCTGGACGCGGAGTGGTAAAAAGATGAAACAAACTATTTAATTATAAGATAACCCACGAAAATAAATTGTCAAAGGAAAATTCCAACGCTGCTAGTGAATAGTGATTATCATTTGCTTCTGGGGGGCTGCCAGAGGACGCTCGCTGAAGCTATTTTTTCTCTCCGTAATTGATACAATTTCGATGATTAAACGCGTTCGGCAATAAGTTACAGGGAACTGCTCCCACTCGTACGATACTACATCGAAAGAAAAACTTATATACGTGGAACGTAAGCCGCGCTATACTATGCGTAAGGCAGTCGAGATAAGAAAGTAGCCTGATGATAGCCTAGTTCTTTTTGCGTGAAACGTGTTCGCGTGCGGACACGGGAACACGCTTGTGGTTAAACAAGCCGAACCCAACGTAGATCCGTGTTACTTCCGACGAAGATGTATCTTTTCCTCGGCTTTTGATTTTGTGAAAACTCCGTGTGTTTCTCTTTACGGTACGTTGCTTTCCCGATTCAACTTTCCCCCACTCCTGTTTTTCCTTTTCCCCTTCTCCTTTTAATCCTTTTCCCCTTTCTTCTCTTTTTCGATTTCTATTTATATCGTCGTTGATTATTAGAAATCGTTATGGCGGTAAAACGATTTCTGTGTGGCAAATTTTCCAGGGTGTTTACGATCTATCCGTAAACACGGTCCAACTTTTCATCGAGGCTTTTATCCGATTTATATTCGCAACGACGACGACCTGTACGCCGATTTTATGCAATACAACCGACGAATCTCCGGTGAAAGACTGTGCGGACTGCTTTTTGGGTGGGAGCTATAAATTCGAGTGGCAGATTTTGTTCATTTTCGTGTCCGCGAGCGGAGACGATGGTCAAGGTCTCCGCCCTGCGGTTCCTCGGTGTTCGTGCAAAATATCGCCGATCTCGATCTATGTCTGACGTTCGTTTCAAGGTAGTACTCCGACCCAATTTTTAGTTTTATTATTCGCCGCTGGTGCTTGGAACTAGAAATGCGGCTTTGCCAACCACGTCTCTTCTCTCCCCCCCCTCTCTCTCTCTCTCTCTCTCTTTCTTTCTTGCGAAATTGATTATCAGAAATGACCGGCGGAAGCTTTTGGGCTATGTGTGTTAACGCGTTCAAAGGAACCGAGAGATTAACTGCTCGGATGAGTTCTCGTTGCCGTAAAAATGAATCGTACTCGTTAAGTATGTACAAATATTACTGATATTAATTAACGATATATATATATATTACGTATTTGTAGAATGCGAGATAAATGTAGTGACTGGTCAAGGTCATTTTATTCCTCTGTCACTTTATCACAACGGATTAACCTAACAGTAGAGTGTCACACAAAGTTCTCGCGTGAAAGAGAAATTTTAATTGATAGGTCGTAATAAATTTTATTACGACACAAACGAAACGAAATAAACTTTTATTAGGATAAATACACGTCGCCGTATTTGTTGGGGCAGCTTGATTTGCCTTTGATGCAGCTCCGAGTCTCTTTAGGGCAGAATGCATTATATTTGCAGTGAAATTTAGTGAAATTTTATTTGAGTACAGGTGGTCTTTATGTACAGTGTACGAAGACTTTCGTGAGTGACTGTACCCCGCCTTATGGATTCGCGTGATTCACGCAATTCGAATAAGTCCTATCTCTCCTCTGTGTGATTAGAAAATACCGTTTAAAGTATTCGCGGGAAAAGTATCGAATCATTTTTCGTTTCCTTTTCAATGCCTTTTTTTAAATTATAATCCAGAAGAAACACGTCTTATTGTACTAATGTGACTAAATTATATCTTATGCCACTAGAGTTCTTTGGCACTAGGGAATTAATGCATCAAGGAACTAGAGCTAGACCTTAGAGTACTGACACATTATGATATCGAATTTCACAAAGTATTATGACTAATTAAATATTATTGCGAATGGTAAAATACTGTGATATCAGGGAATTTAATATCCTAGAGAATTAGAGTACAACTATACCGAAGCATCAGAGTTCCAAGGTATCGACGCGTTGAGAAATTTTCCAATCTTTCATAACAAATGCAAGAATGAAGATAGAGTTGAATAGTGTCCAAAAAATGAAGCCGATAATTCTTAAAGATCGCGATGACTCGGTACCGACGACACGAGAAAAAATAGCGAGAAAGATAATAGCCGGTGCAAGATGATTGCAGCTTTCTAGCTGGTCGTTAAACGGTAAACGCGTAAAAGAAAAGAGCGTAGAATAAATCGCGCAAATGGTTCTCTTCCGCCAATGAAGATTACCGAGGCTCCAGCTCATTTTGCACGATCCTAATTTTCGTTTCTTTGTTCTGTTTGCAGCTGAGGAAAAGCTGTGGTCGTAGAGAAGCACGAAATGAGTCCAACAGAAATTAAATCCATTTGTAGCCCTTTTGGAAAACCCTGGAACGGCGTGAACGTGAAGTTTTCGTTGCATCTTTCTCAAACTCTGTGTCCTCATCTTTGAGCAAATCGTACTTCCCCTTCAACTTTTACAGTCGCAAACAAACAAACGTAAGTAAGACCTAGATAATATATATATACATATATATATATATACATACATACGTGTTCACGTGCTAATATACATATATATATATATAGATTTATACCTTATTGAAAAAGTAGCAAAGATCGTATCAAGACCAAAGATAAAGCCGAAGAAAGAGAACGAAGCAAGAGGGAACAAGCGACAAAGAAGTGTTCTTCATCAGTTCTAAGAAGTTTCCAACACGAGGGAGAAACGAATAGGCAGTGATATACCTTGAAAACGTCATTACACGAAAACTACCCAGAAAACGCGTAGTTAAAGGTTATTTTGTTCCGAACGGAAGAGAAAAAGTGGAAGAAAAACGAGCCAAAATGAGCACAATTAGCAGCATCCAGTCTACATCCGTGAAGGACTTCTACAGGGACAGGTCTATCTTCGTCACCGGCGGTACTGGCTTCATGGGTAAAGTCCTCGTCGAGAAGCTACTCAGATCTTGTCCAGAAATAAGAAACATTTATGTTCTGATAAGACCCAAAAAAGGTCAGGATGTCCAGGAAAGGTTGCGGGAACTATTGAATGGGCCGGTATAATTATTTCTCTCTTACTTCCTTTTTTGTCTTCTTTTTCAATTATATAATTGGAGAAAGGGAAGTTGCGCGTGCTATCTTCAATAGGCTCTATTGCCTCTTTAAATGCAATATCCTGGTTTGAATTCTGGTTTGAAAGTCTTACTATACAATATCGTGGAATGCATTAGAGAAGCAGATAGGAAATGAATTTATTTATTTGCTTCGTCCGGTAAAATAGACACGTGATTCGCTTGAAATTTGTATTTTTATCGCTAAACTATGAATTTAATTCGTAGTATCGAGTTGAGGATTTGAAATATCTAATTTCGATTAATCGAACCGGTCCCTTTCTTTATGTAGATTGTAATTCCAAGAAAGATTAGAAACGAATAATTTGTAGATGAAGATAGTTTTATCGAAGAGCAGAACTAATATGTTAAAATGTTGACAGCTGTTCGAGAAGTTACGGCGAGACGCTCCGAACGAGCTCTCAAAGATAGTTCCCGTGGCTGGGGATGTGACGGAACACGAACTAGGCATCTCAGAGTCCGATCAGAATACTCTAATAAAAAATGTGTCGATCGTCTTTCATTCCGCCGCCACTGTGAAATTTGACGAAGCACTAAAGCTTTCGGTCACTATCAACATGGTTGGCACTAAACAGTTGTTGAATTTGTGCCATCGTATGCACAATTTAGAGGTAAGGAATGTAATTTTATTAAATTTGGATGTTCAGAAGTTTGTATGTCATAATGTATTAAGTATGTAGTCACATAGTTGGGATAGATCGTATTCATTAATCTGTATGTTTCCATGCACAGGCGCTGATCCACGTTTCAACGGCATATTGCAATTGTGATCGTAAAGACGTTGCTGAAGAGATATACCCTCTGTCGGCGGAACCAGAACATATAATCACTTTAACAAAGTCCATGGATGCCAAGGTGGTTGATGATATAACACCGGCTTTAATTGGCAAACGTCCGAATACCTATACTTTTACCAAAGCCCTAACGGAAAGATTGTTGCAATCAGAAGCTGGTTATTTACCAGTTGCAATCGTGAGACCCTCTATTGTCTTGTCATCGTTTAAAGAACCAGTAGCTGGATGGGTGGACAATTGGAACGGGCCGACTGGAATTATTATTGCAGCTGGAAAAGGTTTCTTCAGGTAAGCGTAAATTTTTAATTCCTTGTATCAGTATTTCTATATTAGTTAGGTATAGTAGCTGATATTTGTTTGGAATTTAAGAAATTTCACCTAATATTGAGATACTGTGATATAGTATTGAAATGACATTGTTAACGTTGGAGAAAACGAATTGTTAAAATTTAGTGTCACCGACCTAGCTGTTACGTAAATTGAAAGGTCGTGTGTTGAATTGAATTCATAATAGTTTGAATTGTATGAAAGATTTGTTTTAAAACAAGAGCAGATTATCATACTAATTTAGTAGATTATCGTACTAACAATAAATTAATAAATTAATAAATAATGTAAGATTAATAAGAATAAATTATTTGTTCTTCCCCAAACTTTATAATTCAAATGTTCGTATTGATTATTAATAAATAAACATTTGTTATTACAGATCTATGTTGTGTTATAAAGACATGATAGCAGACTTAGTGCCGGTCGATATAGTAATTAACTTGATGATATGCGCGGCATGGAGGACTGCGACGAATCGTCCAAAGACGATTCCGGTATACAATTGTTGTACCGGTCAACAGAACCCGATTACCTGGAAGCAATTTGTTGAGCTCACGTTCAAATACTCTCGAAAGCACCCATCGAACAGTGTGATGTGGTATCCGGATGGCATATGCCACAACTCCATTTTTTTGAACAAAGTGTGCATAATCTTCCAGCACATACTACCGGCGCACATTTTAGACTTCATTTTTCGACTGAAGGGCAAACCGACCTTTATGGTCGGCGTACAAACAAAGCTCCGTAAAGCTGCCGAGTGCTTGGAGTATTTTAGTACGCAACAATGGAACTTCAGAGATGACAATGTTCGACAATTAGGTGAACAGCTCTCTCCCGAAGACCGACAGACTTTTATGTTCGATGTCAGACAGATTGACTGGCCAGCGTATTTGGAACATTACATATTGGGAATTCGGCATTTCATTTTAAAGGACAATCCGAACACACTACCAGCTGCTCGTTTATATCTTAGGAAGTAAGTAGTGGTTTTTCGCTACAACGATAGTACACTTGGACATATTTTGATGATAGTAAATGAAGTTGAAATTTTTCTGTGAAATTAATTATCTCAAATATCAACGGTCAGGAGAGTTATTCTAATCTAAATATATTTAATTTTGAAAAAAGAAATAATAGCCTTCTACAGTGTGGTAATATATCGTAATAATATTTACTTATCTCGTGTTTCAGGTTATATTGGCTTCACAGAGCTATACAGTTCGGAGTGCTATTAGTAGTGCTACGTTTTTTGTTTTTGCGTAGTTCCATGACCCGGACTGCATGTTTTTCACTGCTGTCTATCGTGTTACGTATGTGCCGTATGATTGTTTGACGGCTCAGAATGCTGACTGAAGATCGCGAAAAGCGTCATAAGAAGCAACAGCTAATTATAAAGAAGCATAATTTAATAGTGCGGGTTGTTCTTCGACTTCATTGCTCGCCATTCCCAACGATCACTCGCTATGTTCAAATATCCCGTCAGTTGGCCTTTTCAATGTTTCTATTTGTTTATAACTAAATTAGCATTTGCTAGAGGTATTCAATTCTGCAGGGAGTGTCAGTTACAAAACATGTTCAAAAAGCACGCAAATGATGAGGCAGAAAGAAAGAAAAATGTGTATTTCAAGCTTCCGAAGTTATCACATATAAAGATCACTTTGTTATATTCCCAAAAATTAACAGGATGGGCAAAATCCCTTTAAGTAACTACGTCGTCTTCTTGTTCAATAATATCAGCAAAAATGCAGCAACGAAAGTTCAGACATTTACAACCATATGTTTATTGTGGATATATTCCATTGTCATTGTAATCGTGTGTTTTTCAATGTCGCCTTAAAAGGGCGTTTCGTTCTTGAGCATCGATTTTTCGCATATCGTCGATTTGTAATGACGCGACATTAGAAGTATTCGATCGAGTTCGTTGTTAAAAGACCTAAACCTTGATACTTTGTTTCGGTCTGTTACATTGCACGGTAATTATCGTGTAACGCGGTTTAAAATCATACGACGCGTGAACTCCGTGAGCCGGCAACTCGAATACCGATCGAAATTATTCAATATTTGCCATAGAACCTTGTGATTTGATTGATATTTAAGTATGTTCTCTTTTCTCACACCATTTTAGCTTAATGATCAAAAAGTAACAACAAAAAGAGATAGAATAACATTTTACAAATTATTTAAGAGAAATTATTTGTTATTCATATTTTTACATTTTTAACGATAATCCCTACTGTGTTCAATATGTCTTTTTATCAATTGACCTACAATTTAAGTAATCAACTTAATCTTCCAATAAATTTTCGTGAGTTTTTAATTAATTAGCAAGGTTTTATCGTGTATTCCGTTATTTAGGGATCACGTTCGCTACTTTATTTCGCCCAAAAACAGTAAAAACTGCGAGAAAAGGACGAGAAAAGAACAAACAATTTTCAAATTAATCGTAGAAAATAAATCGAAGCGGTAGATTATTATTATGAGAATATTTTACATCGCCAAACGATCTTAATGCCCACTAAATTCCTTCCTTTTTCATCATTTTTACAATGTTTAGGGATAATGAACAAGTGCTTCGTATACTGGTCGTTTAATCCTTTCAAATGCAGGGTTTTTCTTTTAGTCGCCCAGCCACTCCCTTAGAGTGAGCTTTTTCACGATTTAATGTAATAAGCCGTAATCCGGTAGACTATATATGTAGCATAAAAACCCGAAGGATTAAACGTTTATCTAGTATCGAATCTTTTCGAGTCTTCGAAGTGCTAACTTTTTTTGTCTAAAAATACAACATAAGTTTTGTTTAGTTAGTGAAAAAATTAAATTATAAACTCAAGATGGTTGGTTGAAAAGAAAAATTTTTGACGCCGGCTAAAGGAGTTACAAATTCGTCGTGCCTTTGTATAATCGCGATCTGGCATTTTGTTCATTCATTTACACTACGATATAAGATACATAGATGAATATTTAGTCATGTTATTACGAAGTACATTCAAGATTCTATTCTATTCCATTCGAGATATCTATCATTTTCAATCGGTTTCACCATCAACGAACCAAGTTACTGTATCTAAACGATCAGACTAAGCATTCGATTGATTACATGTAATTACAATCTATGTATAAAAATAAGTGTTCGTTGCTGTTTAATTATTATTATTATTATTATTATTATTATTATTATTTAGTTTTATTACTTGTAAAAAAGAATTGGAGGTGGTTAATGGAGGAATGCGCTTGTTATAGTTTTGTTCAATATACTTAAGTTCGCTCAAATTTATTGAGTATATATTTGTCTTTTACAATTAAACAGATAGATGAATTTCATGGTGCAGTTCTTAATTTAATGATCCTGATTACTTTTTTACAATTATTTATAATTATGGCATAAGGAAAATGAATTTTTAAGGTCTACCTTAATAAATGTATATGTAAAACAAGTATTTCTATCAATAATTTGCTTCGTTTTTGGTGAAATTAAAACTATAGGAAAGATATTGACAAGTGCCAAGATATCAAACTTGTTGTAATTGGCATAAATGTGGTGCGTTCACCGCTGAATCATTCTAATTGAGAAGATTGCCACAAGAATACCTTATAGACTAGCCATTATTTTCATTCACAATGAAATATGTTGAAATGCTCATTGTGAATCCAAAGTTTTAACATGAAAACCAACACACTAAAGTACAGACCATATAGCGCTTTTTAAATCAGCCACCGGTTGGCACAGTGCATTTATTTGAGTCTTCTCCAATATAATAATGTAATAATGTTCAAAAATACCAAAAGAAAAGAAAAAAAGAAAAAAAAAAACAAAAAAAACATGCTTTCATTGGAATATTGCGAGTAATTGTTTAAAAATTAAACGATTCCATTCAACAAATATAACTAATTTAGTTTCACCATTGATATTATTTAAATTAAAATAACTATTTTCTACTTTGCCTAAATAACAGCCTTACAATGGAATAATAAAACAACACAATTAATCTTATTCAAATTGTTAAAAAAATAAGGGATTATAAATACATTTCTCGAGAAAAAAAGAGAAAAACTGCCACCGGTAGGCAAAAGATTATAATGAAATTAATAGAAGTGATTACGTTTAAAACGTTTATTGTGCAAATGTGAGCCGAAGTACACAGTTATCACTAGTCATCTTATGATATACTATAACATTCTTAATGATGTTACAGACGCTAAAATTTTGAAGGCATTGGCAACTTATTTTTCTCTTTCAATTGAATTTTTCTCACGTATACAAATATGATATCACTTTTAATAGTGGCCGATCGGTTGCAGTGGCAAAATTAGAATCATATATCGGCGGAAAGAGATGACAAATTTGTATATATACAAAGTTACCGATAATCGAAAAAGACAATTTTATATATACACGACAATTCGTTGCCGTTATTTATACGTATCATCTAGAGATTTTCACGCTTTTTCGCTATTATGCCTTTACTCATGTATATTATTGTGTTATTACATATACCTTATCGCACTATCCTATGTACATTACACATTCCAATGTTCATTTTATCAAAATGACATCACACACGTCACGGATTGTTATATATAACCTAAAATAAGTAAACTTGAAATTATTTATAAATTCAAATTCAAATTTGAATATTGATTGTTAAAAATTTCTTCTCTTTAATCAAACAATTATTTTGAAAAACGACTATAATAATTAATATGCTTAAACTATATTTACTCTATAACTTGATCACTTTGTTAAGAAATAATTGTTCTCTACAATCCGTGATGTGTCACAGATGAACATATTGAATAATAATAATCTAACTTCATCTTTAAACTCAATTTCAAATATTCAAGCGTGGCCAGGCAGTACACTTTATAAATATAGGAAAGAATCATACAAGTTGATTTCTTTTTTCGCTAAAATATAGATATACTGTAATTTATCACTGCACTTGTATATCACTAGTAACGTGTTATGAAAATTTGAAACTTTTGCTTGGTATTTAACGTAAGTCGCATTTATTCCAATAGTGCTCTCGGTGAATTCGTATAAAGCGTCTCTGTGATGGATATGTTCTCGTGTATTGTATTAATTTCACTTTTGTATTTTACAGATATTTTAATTAAATGCTAGTTAACCCTTTGTAGCTCATTTTATGATATATATATGTATCTCGTCATTATTTATTTAAACATTGTAAAATAAGAAGTAGAAGATATATATGATATTTGATAAAATCTAAAATTTAATTCGAAAAGATTGAAAAGTATTTAAATTTATGTTGAAAGTACTTTAATTAATAGTCGTACCCTGTAAAATGATCCATGGAGGGTTAATTAATGATAAAAGTCTCTGTTTTGTAACACTAAATTGAACATGATATTGCTCTACATATAATATAACTTTTATGCTATATCTGTTGCCTGTGCCTTTAAAACAATGATTAAGTCATGAGCGCCATTTTTGAAACCGTATATATGATTTTTACAACCACATGGAGCAGTTTCTCTCGCGTATGACCCTTTTGATTGATTGTTTCGTATTGTTTAGTTCGAATGGGCTTCCTTTCGATATTTATTTTATCGCTATATTTACTATTTATCGATCAAAAACGTTGCCAAGACACAATGAAAAAATTACACACTAGAAAGAGAGGGTGAGGGAGAGGGAGGGAGAGAGAGAGAGAGAGAGAGAGAGAGAGAGAGAGAGAGAGAGAGAGAGAGAAAAAGAGAATGCATGTGCGTGTGCGTATGCTCTGTGTGCGTGTACGCGCGCGCGTGTGTGTGTGTGTGTGTGTGTGTGTGTGTGTGTGTGTGTGAGAGAGAGAGAGAGAGAGAGAGAAATTACAAAGAAAAAAGGTGAAACGAAGACAGAAAAGATTCGTGAAAAGAGAGTCGATCGAATATGACGTTCAAGAATTAATTAAAAGATGAGGAAGAAAGAGTATATAATAATAATTACTTAGCGCTAGGTGTAAAGAAAGAAGAGTGTGAAGGGACAACACTAACGAAGGTCACCACCTGCTAGTCTTGTCTATATCGTTATTCGGTTACACAATGCATACAAGGATTGCAACAATGCAACAATATTTAATATAATCGATTTAATTAATATTATACTGTACTATTATAAATTACATTAAAAATAATGAACCATTGCAAATGCATCTTTTAACATGCCCTTTGGAACAATCGATTAATAAAAATAATTAGGAAAAATGGACTCACGAGTCTTCTAAATAATCCATGAAATTGTAACATCAAATGCAAAATTCCATTCTAAAAATTTCTCCTTCGACTTTATTTTAAATGTAAAAGATCGAAAATACAACATGAAGGATATTAACTGTTTGTCTTTCACTTGTGCTATAAGAATTGATTATTATATAATTGACCAAATCAGATGTAAGATTCTTTTAGTAACCTTTAGTAATTAAGAGTTTGATTAGTTTAATAACTAATCGCATTAGGTAAAAGCATAAATATAATATGAAAATATGTAAACGAAGACACTGGATAAAATACCGACATAGAAAACAGGATACCGAAAAGCGAACATGGTATTAGAAATCAAATGCAACCACATGAAATGGAACCGGTTGAGGCACACGAAGTAGAATAAGACGAGTTACCACAATACCCGGTAGATGGGGTGACAAAACGACACAGTATTCGACCAACAAAGTAGAACGTAACAGGTCAGGTGTCAGTAGCGAAACAACTTTGCAAAATAAAAAAAGGAAACACTCGAGAAGGAAAATGCAACGGTATGGAACGGTTTGATTATGGAAATGTAATAAAGAAAAATGTACTAAAGTTCAATATTCTGCTATTTTATAGACTTAATAAAATTTGCAGCATATTAAAAACATAAAACTAGTATTTTGATAATCAATTCTATAATGTATAGAATAAATTAAAGATATTTCTTGACTCCTTTACAAATTATAATAATACAAAATGCAATGATTCTATATATATACATATCCCTGTACTATACCCGTTTAATTACAAGTCATCGTTGCGAATATAGTCAGATTTTTGTCTATGATGATACGGATGTTCTCAATTTTATCAATCCAGGATCTCTTATCGTACATACCGACGTCCCAACCGTTTCTTACCATATGATCATTAGAAACATAATTTTTTTTATATACATTTGCATGTATTACAATATGCACATACATACATAAATAATATACGTATATATATTCGTTTTAGCCAAATCACGAGAGTGTCGCTACTGTCAGTTTTTTCTGTAGATTAATTTACGTTCATTTTTGAAGTAAGATTTAAAGCATACCTCTGTAAAGTAGACGAAAAGTCAGATAATGCAGTAATGAGTTCATGTCGCGCGCCATCCAAACGTAAATGGTAGAAGTGTGTAACGATCAGTAATGGCGCGCAAATAAACCGTGTAATACGGGTGCCATAGTGCCGTTCATTGATTGCGCTTGTCCGGTACCATATTCCGCGTTCCAGAGCGTAGCGTTTATTGCGCAAAATCCAATCACTAACGTTTCGCCATTTTTGTTGACCATTCGGCAGTTTCGGCGAAAACGGCTATAAGCTAGTCTGGCTGGCAAACTGGTCACGCTTGCTACCTGAATATCGATTCATCTTGGTTGGGATCGAGAATCGCGATTAGGTTCCTCGAAGAAACGCCAGAGTTCTCTTTGCTGTTTTCTTTTTGACTTGGTGATATTTTATTTATATATGTATGACTATACATTGGATTTTTCTTCAAATTTTACGTTAGAATTACGTATTAATAACATGTAAGTATTACTACTTGATATTTTTTACTCGTTTAAAATGCCATTTTATCAAATAATTCGGAAAATAATAATTTCATGCGAAAACGAATGTAATATGAATACTTCACTCGTGTGTTCGTTGATGGAAAAAGCTGTGTAACGAACGTTTTTAATTCGTATTTACTTCAAGATTTTACTTTAAATATTTTATATTTTAACTTCTTTATATTATCGAAAATCTTTGCGAAGAATAAAGAAAGTTTACATTCTTGTCTACGTAAAATTAAATTTTGCTACTTTTATGCTTGTCGGAAATATTTTATATTTTATGAAAAGGAAAGAAAAAATGACAGTATAGAAAGTTTAGTGACAACATTTTTTTTACGTTTATCATTATCATGCTTTTTTACTATACATTTACACGTCTTTGAAATTTTCACACTTTGCACAACAAATTAAATAAAATCTCCGGGCAGTTAAATATATAGACATTAATATTGGCATTAGCATAATGAAGTGTCCAGTATTCAAAACCGGTGCTTACCTTCTATCTTGTATTTTTCCACGCTTATCAAATAATGTAAAAAAAAGAACATAAGAATCTATAAAATAAATATCGAAGAAACAGTAAAAAGACAATAAATCTATATATATTTTCGACACTTAAAAGAAACGTGAACAAATTAAACATTCAAAGTGACACAAGATACATTTCAATGAAAACAACTTATTTTATTCAAAGTTACAATACATCACCATTTATTACGAAGATGCGCAGTTTCAAAAATTTATTTCTGTTAAAAGATTATGTCTTGAGAAGCTTGATGTACTCTTAACTCCCCACTGTAAGTGAACAATAGAAAATTCTAATTCTTAATTAACTCCGAATCAAACAATTTTTTCGCATGCCCTATTGCGAATGGAATCAGTTCAATGCGAATGAGACAACATCATTAAAAAAAAACGAAGAAGGAAGACATGAAAACGAAAGGATCGGACCGCGGACGAACATGAGGCACACTGAAATATCTAGCACGCACGATTTCCGAGGTTCTATAGACCCGCTGTTCATTTCTCCGTTCCGTGCTATTTTTGGCGCGTGCATAGGTACGGAGACGTTTAAACGATTTCACAGTAATAGAAACCGGGCAAACAGATGCAATTACGAAAATCGTGGCGTCGCTATATCACTCGAGATCGACGGCCCTTACAAATCGATCGAAGAATCGATTCGCGTTCGAGATCGGGAAGTTTCATGTTCGGGACCATCTTTTTGAAAACGTTTAAAAAAGATTTACACGATAAAACAGAATTTTTAGTAAATATTTTATGTAAGTAGAATAACGAATGCTGACTAATTTAATAACTTAGTATACTACTTTTTACTGCTCTATAAAATTGTTTGATACGTTTAATATATTAAAATTCTACTACTTTTAGTTTTTAATTGTAAAATAAGTTGTTTGATTTAAAAAGAAAAAAGAAAAAAAGAATGTGTATACGCATTCAAAACGATGTTTAAAACTATTAAAAATGAACATGATTAAAAGTTTGGATAATCTTAAGAATAATTTTAACATATTTATCACTATTAATATTAATTACGATATTTGAGGTCATTTTTTCAATTGTTATTAAAATAATTATTTTTTCAGGCCATTACCGAAAAAAATGTGTTATTAAGAATTTGCATTGTTTACCTCGGAGAAAATAGGAAAACAAGGAATAAGATGCCACAACGTGCGAAGAGTGAAAGTAAAGCACAAATCAAGGAAGAAGCTTCTACATCGTCTGTTTTTACAGAGAATTCTGGAGACGATGATCTGAACGTCGCTGAAGTACGGAACAAAAAAATATAAAAATCATTTAATATTTAATTACTAAAATCTTTAACTTCTTAGAAATTTTTATATCAATATTCATTTCATTTATTTGGTTATTACAGATATTGTGTTAAATAAATCTAAAAATCAAATAATTTTTTGATAAAAGTAAAAATATTATTATATATATATGATAACTAAATGTTTAAAATTGTTTAAAAAACGTACTAGATCTTTTGTTTTGATATATAATGGATTATGTACATAATCGCTTCATAAAATCAATTCTACATAGTCACTTTTTAAAAATTACAATTTGCATCTGAACTCTCAAATACTAGTTATCATATGTAACACAATTTTTCTTTAATTTTGTTAAATATTAAATTATGATTAATAATTACTTAACAAAAAGTAGATATTCATATTCATGAATTAATATCACAGGTTGTATTATCAAATAAAGGGGGTCCAAAATTAATTCACCACGGCTATATGTACACACTGCACAAGAAGCAACCTTATAATATTCGATGGAGATGCGTTGGCAGAACTATGCATTGTAGAGGCAGCCTTATCACGACCACGAGTTGCACGAAGCCTAGAGTGCGTATGGAGCACAACCATAAACCAGATTTCGCGGCTGCTCAAGTTGCCAGAAAACGCTACTTAGCTCTTGGCAAACCTTGCGTGCTAACAAGTAAGTTTACTAACTTTCCCATCGATGTCAATTTATCTCCGTCATGGATTTTTGAGTAAAGTTTAAAAAATACATTCGATGAAATATTTTTGTCACGTATAGTATTTGATGGAAATTTTGCGTATCTCGTAGACGTAGAAGGGAACACTATGAAGTCTATGAACGTACCGCAATTAGTGATTCACAAAGAAAATGATGTACCAGATGAGCAGAAAAGTAGAAGACCGAAGACACGTGCTACGGCCAGAAAAAGTAAGTGTTTTGATATTTTATATTTTCAATAATTAAAAATTATAACGAATATTGAGAATGGGTTTGTATATTGAACAAAATGTATAATTTATTTTTAAAATATTTTTATCTATTAGATTTATATTCCTACTTAAAATATGGTATATTTAATAAATTGGCACGTGTTTAATATACTGTGTTAATAATATCCATTAAATAATTCTCCAGAAGACTAATAAAAAATAAGAGAATTCGCTATTAATTATGGAATTAAGAACAATTAAGAACAAGATTTTATATTTTTTAATACCAATATAAAATTATAAATCGTTTCCGAATTAAATACTGTAATAAATATTACTGTAATTGCAATATGATGCAAAAACGTATAATTAATTTCGAAATAAAAAAGAACTAATTGTAGCAGTCATATTAAACTATCTATATCGATTATTATATACAATAAACTAATTCTATTGAAACGTTTTAAAGCACATACAATTACATTTATACATTTGCAAAAATGATAATTTTAAATTTCATCGAATAATTAATAGTCATGATAATCGGCATACATAAATCTACAATTTATGAAATTCAAACACCAATCGTCGAGTACAAATTAACGTGTTTGAACGTGTGAAAATGTAAGGTAATTAACAAGCAACACATTTCAATTGCGTCTCTGTTGTTTCAAGATGGCGGGCATCTTAAAGATGCGCGCGAAAAAAAGGGAGCCGTAGAAGCAACTCCCGATCGATGAGAATTCGCTCGGCGAGGCTCGAGTGAGTCGAACGTGATCAGGTCGGTTAGTAATTCCTTAGCGAAGAGAGACCCGGGAACGCGCACACGATAGCAACACGAAACACGGTACGGATAATATGCGTCGACGACCGGCGGCGCCGTCGCACATGCGCGCCCTGACGCGCCCCTGTTCGTCCACCGATTTCGATTTTAGTCACTCCCGGGTTCGGCTTCGGGGAAAATCGTTCCGCTCTCGTAGCGAGCCATACTGTCGAGACACGTCGTGAAAAAAACTCGCTCGGAACTTAGTAACGATTCTGTCGATCGAGTAGAGATAAACGCGTCCCTCACGAGTCACACTCTTTTGCGTTCGACGATCTTCCGTTCGTGACCGTTCATTCCGTTCAAGTATATATTTGTACATCGAAGGCGTACCGTGAAAGAGAAGGAACGGAATTTTTTGGCGATTCCCTCCTTGTGTCGTCGTTGCTCCGTTCACGGATGATCATATCCGATACCGGTTTAATCGTTAAACGTTTACACAGCAGCGAGATTAGACACGCCAAGAATAACGCGATAGGAAACCAGTGTTGATCTTCATAAGAATCTGATCGAGAGAGAATCAAGAGCACGGCGAAAGAAATCGGAAAATTCGTAGTGTAGTTCTTCACTCCTGGGAATCGTCCGAGGGTCGATAAATTGTCGCGTGGTCGTCGGTACAACGGCTCTCTGACGCGACACAACACGAAATCGAACCGGTTCGTAGCTGCGAATCGAACGACTGGATTGGGTTAAGTGACACCGCGACAGACGACAAAAAGAGAGGAACAAAGACAGAAGCAAAAAAGTACAGAGGTACAGTAGACGAGCGACGTAGCTGTGGCGTGTGCCACTCGATATCGTGCTCGGTCGCAATGGTTGCCATTTTATAGCCGGTCGCTCAAGTGAGATCTTCGGGGAGGCAAGAAGGAGAGGGAGAACTGCGTAAGAACAAAAGAGCGAGTAAGAGAATACGAAAAAGATAGAAAGAGCATGAAAGAGAGATAAAGTGAGAGGGAATAAGAGAGAGAAGAATGAGAGAGAGAGAGAGGGGGAGAAAAAGATGAAGTGAGAAGGATCGAAGGAACATGTATGAGACGGGAAACGTCGTTTTGTGGTAGGGAAGGGAGGGGAGATTTAAAAGCAGGAAAGAGAGGGGAGAAGAGAAGAAAGAAAGGAACTTTGCAGATGGAGTAGAACTTCCGTAGATGTTTTTAGATTGTTTCTGGTTATAAGTATAGATTTATGGAAATTTAGATTTTTTTACATTCATCGTTGATTATTTATATATTCAACGTTGCAATGCAATATCGATCTAGCCTACATAATATACGTATAGTATACTATCGCACGTTCTCATCGGATAAATCGTTAATACGTATTATCCGTGTGTCGTCTGCTGAGTGATGACACAATGTGTTAAAAGGAGTGGGAGTAATAGAGAAGCATTGGGAGACGAGAAAGATAGTGCATGAACGCGCGTATATATTTTATCTATTCACCGGACGATTATCGTTTTTATTACAACGCTATGTCAAAAAAATTATATTATGTATTATGATATTTAAATATTCCATTTACCTTACGAGTGTATGATACCATATATTCAGGATTATGCAATATATTTGCACTCGTTAAGACATTCAAATTCAATTATGATTCTTATATTGATAGATAAGGAATAATTCACGGTTTATAAGACCTCTTTTTTAAAACGTTATAAGAAAATGCATTATTTTTGGCGGTATTTAAAAGTTTACCAATAAAATAAATATTTGATACTTATGACTTCGCATTCTTTTACAAAATTGTCACATACAGTGAACAATTCTAACATCAAAATTATAAATTCAATTAATAACGATCTAATTTTTCATTCAATTCGATATTTGAAATAGGTTATCACGGTGTGGTACATTTTGATTAACCAAACAAGGTAAATCGATGAACTTCGTTACAGATCCAATTACATTCACAATACATACACTTATTTAATCTGTGACTGCAATAGTTAATTCTATGCGTCGTCTCTTCTTCCTTATCCTTCGAATTCTCGTTCCTTTTACCGAGAAAAAAAAGAACAAAATTAGGATATCTATATGGAGACGGATGCCGCCGCGCACGAGTAATCGATTCGTGAAACTACGTCTACACGGAAGGATGTTATTTTCTTGATGTTATCTCAGAATATCGCGTTTTCGTCTCACAGAGAAAACGTACCGCAAGAACGGAAATACGATTGGCGTGGAATTGGGATTGTAAGCAGCGTAGCAAGAACGAGCACGACGGCTACAACGGCGGGTCGGCTTGTGCTGGTGGCCTGCAAGGACACCGTAAAGCTGACTACCCGCCGACTTCTGCAGGAGCAGCAACGTGACCGAAATTACATCGCTTCGGTCACCACGTCTTCCAACGAGGATATCGTGGAGGGCATACGGCTCGAGGACGTCGCGATGAAGCAAGAACCTGAAGACGAGGAGGATTGTTACCTGGAGGCGGCTGAGATGCCATCTCTCTCGCCGTCATCGTCCAGTCGTCATGCAGGTGCTGCACATCGTGTTCGTTCGCATGCACGTAGCCTTCGTGCGATGACAAACCCGAGCGCGGTTTGGGCACACTTTGACCTATGTGCTAATGATCCTCTGCGTGCCGAGTGTCGAATCTGCGGAGCGGTCGTGGTCAGGGGCGGGGCAAATCCACGACAATGCGGTACAACGAACCTTCATCGACATCTCAGGGTACATCACGGTGGCAGACTCATTGGCAGTCGCTATCACGGTAATGATAGTTGGTTATTGGAGGTACTTTACACGCTGGTAGAGTGCCACTGTGTGACTTGACAATTGTTTGGAAGCTGTTGATGAATACTGTTACAGTGTGTATGAGTTTATGTAAGGTAACATTTGAGATATGGTTTGTATTTATATGAATAATATTGACATCTGGAAGTCTTTTATGTTTTAAGTATCAAATAGATTGTGTAAACGTAAACAGCCCTAACAAATTGTTTTAACATCTTCTGGAGAGTCATTTTAATGAATATAAAGAGAAATAAATTGACCTTTTATAAGATTTATTAGGTAGTAATGGAAATTGTTTTTTTACAGTATTGCAATCACCTTCTCAGAGTAATTCAACTGGCAAAACTATAAGGATAGCAGCACAGTCCTTGGTAAGATCTCATATTAGAAACATTGCACCAGCACCTATATCGCAACAGCAGCAACAGCAGCAACGCCAACCAAAGACTCTTGTGTTAAAAACGATACCTTTAAAAGTAAAGCAGGTTGCACCTACAACTATTAAAATGCCACCTCGACAGACTAGTCAAGGGGTACCTCATAATATTGTACATCAACAGCCTACAGAGGTAATAATCAATTTAATAGCAAACAATAGAATATTCCAAAGTTGCAAATTCCAATATTATAAATTTGAATATTTATTTTCTTTTTTCTAGGTTTGTTTAAGATGGAACAGTTATCATAGTAACATGCAAAACAGTTTCCCATCTTTATTGGATTCTGAACAATTTGTTGATGTTACCTTGGCTTGCGAAGGCCGTTCATTAAAGTGTCATAAAATGATACTCTCAGCGTGTAGCGATTATCTCGCAGATCTGTTACGCGAAAATCCGTGTCAACATCCGATTATTCTAATGAAAGATCTTAAATTTTGGGAGGTTGAAGCGCTAGTCAAATTCATGTACCGTGGAGAAGTAAACGTTGCACATGATAAACTACCGCAATTGTTGAACGCAGCTGAAGCGTTACAAGTGAAAGGATTAGCAGGACCAAATCCTTCTTCGCAGGTAAATGTTTCTCTATTTTTTAAATGACTACCAAATTTCGTTAATACAAGTTTTTATGAAGTATATTAATTTCATAGAATCCAAAGCCACCGTTACTTATTCCACAATCAAAGCCAGTAGTATCTCAACCAGTTCCTCGTGCCACTTCAGAGACCAAAGAGAAAGCTTCTACTTCTGGAGTTTCTACGCCTTCTAGTCCGAAACGTGCGCAAAAACGGCAACATTCAGAACCTATTGAACCAAAACCCTTTACAAAGATACGCTTACAACGACCTGTTACACCTACATCACCGACTACTACAGTTAAGATGGAACCTTTAGATATTCCTCTTAGTCCTACAGAAATGTTCGCTGAAAATAACGAGGATAGTTCAACTCCTTCAAATTTCGACAAGCTCATGAGTTTACATGAGGAGGATGATCCAGGTGGTAATGAAGCCACTGATGGTGAAAGAGAAATTCATTTTTGCGAAATACCTGAGCCACCCGATATAAACGATAGTGAAGATCAAATGGAATTTGTACCTACGGACTTCTTAGAACAAGAACAGGACATAGTTGAAGAAACGGAAACAGCCTCGAATAAGGATTGTAAAGAGGAATCCAGGGATTTCAATTCTGCTGAACTTGAGGTCAGTGAAGGAAATGGAATCGAAAAGGAACAATGTTCAAAAGAAAAAAAGCCAGTTTAGTGAGATGATTCGTGAATTCAGTACTTGAATTATTTGACAGAAATAGAATAAAATTTACAATTTAGTTTTTTAAGCAATTTGTAGAATTATCCAGTATTGCCACGAGAATATAATTATTATAGACTTTTATTCTGTACATTGAGTATCGATTTCAATAAGTTAATTTCAATAACTTACGAAAGAAAACAATGTGTGTATTAGTTTTGTGATAGTGTTTATGCAGTCTATCGTAGTAATGAATTATTGAACGTATATGTAGTTTTATTTTTATTTGTGTTTATTCAACCAAGAAACAGAGTAAAGTTATATATCGAGATCCCATCATTTGTTCTCAGAGTAATATGACAAATATTTCATCGACTTTGTAAATAGAACATTCGCGATAAAAAGTAAAACTATTTTTACCACTTACTGTACGAATCGTAGCGGCTACATATATCTTTCGAGTATTTTCTCCAAGTTCACTGTTCGAAATTGATATTTCTATACGAATGACTATGCCAGAAAGTAAATTTTAAGTGAGATTATTAATTAATTGTACATATTTACAAAAGTACCTATAATCAGTTTTATTGGGTGATTTGTAAAAATTGGAGTACGACACATGACTTTTATGTCTTTAATTACAATTATAATTTATTTGTTAAAAACAAATCGTTCTACACTTTTGTATTATAATCTTATAACTCACAAATCGACTTCCGCAATAAGTAGGAGTTGATTAACCATTTTAAATGATATAATTATTAGTTTCAGTCATTATTGAAAATTTGAAAATGACATTTCTATTTTAATTATGAATATGTTAAAAAGAAAATGTTGCTTCTTAAAAGGAAAGTTGTACCTGTTGACTTCAAGGCCGTTTGTATTATAATTTAATGATGAACAGTACAACAAGTTAATATTTTTTTATTAATTGTGTTGTACAAACTTTGTTTATTCTAATTTTATCCTTTTAAATACGTATGTATTATACGTAAATTAGATATCTGATTACTGATTTATTAATAAATTAATAAAAGATTAATGCATTTATATGTTAATCATAAAAATTCATTATTATTATATAAGATTGCAGAATTAATAAGTCGATAACACAGTATGATATTTTTTATTATACTGTAATCTTTCTTTACAGTAGGTTTCTAAAGATTCATATGTAAATTTTATTAAAAAAAAAAAAATTATTTGTCTTAACAGTATACTTGTATGCAAACATTAAGTAAAAGTAATATTCTACATATAAGGTATGTAATAAATCGAAGCTAGTGGCAAAATTACGTTTATTGTAAAAAATCCATGTATGAGTGGACAGTATATGTACATTATAACATGTGAAATTATGTCTTATAAATAAATTGCTATTATATTACATAGCAAAATAAATTGTATTATTTTTTTTTAAATTCTATTATTATTTCTAGTTATTTTCTACGTTTGTGCAACTTATTTTCATTAATACAATTAAAAAAAAAAACAATTTTGTAATAGTATGATATTTTTAAAACAGAATATTCCAATTTTATTTGTAAGTTACTTAATTCGAAAATTTTTAATTTAATACAGTACATAATTTGAATTTTCCTTAAAGATATGTCTTATTATTAAGTAACCTATACATATTACAAATATTAAAATTCTATCAATAAAATTTGTAGGGGTGTAATATTAGTCTTTTCTAAATATATCGATTTTATATTGATATATTTCTTTTAATACATATTAAAACCTTTTGTTTAAGTTTCATTACTGAAAATATAATATAATTCTATTAATATTATTAATAGATAAATAATTATATAATAATATACTTTTAATTATTCAAGTCCATTTTCGAACTTTTGTTTTATTTAAACAATATTTAGACATTTATTTATGCATATCTCATATAAAAAATTGCATCATAATAATAAAATTTAAAAAAACATTGATCCCATTTTATTTATTCATAAAATTATTTCTATTAAATATAAATTAATATTTATCTAAGTAATGGGGTTACAATATCAATATTAATACGCCAATATAAATTATTTTCTTTGTTTACAGTAATCTAATACATTTTGTAATATTTACATAAAAAAATATATTTTTTTTATGAATTGTAAACAACTAAAATTATCTTATATCATACAATAATTATTTTCTTCGAATTGTTTCAATATTAAATTTATAACTCTGGGATTGCTGATTTGATCCCGAAGTGGGTCGCAGACCGTGATGGCGCCACGTTATCTCTATCCCTCCCCTTGCCGAATTGTCAAATCGAGGAACGTTGTTTGTATACGAAATTTTTATCAGTTTTCAGCCTCAAAAACGATCCGGAGACTTTGAACATCAGAATAACGTCAGGTTCGTACTCGTGCTTATTTTCACCCTAAAATATGTTAATGTTATTTTATGGAATCCTCTGATCGTCGCAGATGAACGGAAATGTTAAGAGCTCGATGTGACCGGCGCTGCTACCACCTTTCTGTCAATTGCTTCTCGTCCCTTTTTTATTTTTCGTAATGAACCTTTTTTTTTATTTAATTTCTGTTTTCCAATGCATTAAGGAAAATGATTCTATTTTTATTTCATGTTAAATAGGAACATTAACAAAAAATTCTTTTTTGAATGAAATTTCGTTTCAAATTGTGCATTATCGGTTTTACCTTATTTCTCTTAACCTAACTAGAAGCTAATCGTTCCATTGCGATTATGAAGCTTCTAAACCCAAATTTTGATACTACAGAACATAATGTCAAGCTTAAATATAACGCAATTTATATAGTGCGTAATAAATTAAACTTGACATTGGCAAGTCCATATTACAATTTTATAATTCCTGAATTTTCATTTAATATATTATTACAATTATTTTCTGTATAATTTTTTTGTAATATATTCTTATATTGGCATTTTTTAAAAATATTTTTTTCACTATATAAATCTTTTTAGAATGAAACTGTTTTATCTCTAATAAATGATTTTGTTTGACAATAGCAATATTTTGACATTATTACCAGCATTTTTATAAAGATAACTGTTAAATTATTTTAGTGAAATTATTGAATGAAAATTTCATTGTAATCAAACAAAATAATGTTATGTTATCAAAAATCATTGTTATCAAAATATTAGTTATTTCAAGAAACACAAATTTGTATGAAATAAAGTTTATAAATAATATTAAATTAGATGTACATAAATCTTTTAACAATAGCTGATTATTATATTAATATAATAGATATATACTAATAAGTTATTTTGTCTTGATTTTTTAGGATGAATCGTACAATGGATGAAAAGGAAGAATTGGTAAAAAAGTCTTTATTTAACTTTGTGAGAAAAGAAGTACCCACTGCCCAATTAAGGTAATAAAAATTGAAAGATTTCTTTGTTTATAATTTAAAAGAAATATCTATATATAGAATCTATATGTTTAATTTGTTTTTGAAATTTATAAAGATATTTTTTTTAGTTTAATAGACGATATTGTCCTGAGTTATGTGGTAAGTATGGTAGAAGAAAGTGCACTTGAGGAAAACTTGGATGTTGATGAATTATGTGAAATGGTTTCTGCTTGCCTTCCTGAGTTTTCTACTATTGAGAAAGAAGCAGTATCTAAATGGTTGTTAGATACTGAAAGTAAGTTACGGCAAGAAAGTAAAGAGAATGAAAATTGTCAACCTCAGGATCCTCTGAGTCACGTTAGTTTAACAGCTTTATTACCTCCTGATACCCAGAGAATAAGAGTTCATCATCTCTCAGAAACAAGTGATGCTGGAAGTGATTCTAGTGGAGAATATTTCTCAGAAGTAATTTCTTTTTATCTGTTTTTCTAATTGCATAAAAAGTTTGGTTTCTGATAAATATATAATATAAATTTTAAAATATCAATGTATCTTTCTTATTAGGAATCATCTTGGCACCAAGTAGCACTTTTGCAAGAAATGTTTCCAGCAGTAAGTGCAGCAGAAGCTAGGCATTGCTTGGCAGTTGCTGGTGGTGACATAGCGAAAGCAGCACAACTTGTACTTCATAGACAAGAGGCAGGACAGAGTATTGTTAGTAACCTTACTTTTCTAACAGTAAGTAAAAAATTTCAAATATTTTTTTAATTATAACATTTTATGTAATATACTTTTTATTTGGTGTTTAAAAATTATATTACTGATCTTCATTAACATATATGTACATGTACGTGTATTTTCATAGTAGGAAAATAATGTAGGATGCCAAGAACAGGTTTTATTTTGTCTTCAGCTTTTAGAAATAATGTGTATGTATTCCCTCTTTTCATCGAAATATAATCAGTCTGCGCGAATGATTTAAGACGTAAAGCGCACACCAAACGCGAAAACTGAGTAAACGCAAGAAAATAATATTAGAGTAACGTACCTTTAACACGCGGAAAACACGCTTCTTTTTGTCTCTCTCCGATATCAAACAACTCACGTCCGTGCCAGTCACAAACTATATTTCTAAGGATTCTTCAAGGCTTCTCAATTCAAAACTTTTCCTGTGTCGCAAAGGGCCCTATTTTTATGTCCCTTGCCGTATTTGATGACGTACTTTTATCAATCGCTAAGTGGCTGATGTGATTCAGCCGATTAGTGATTTGTCCTCGTGAAAATTACATCACCTTGCCGATTCGCCATTCGCCCCCTGTGAGGATACGATTCCGCTGACCTGCGTTTCGCCCCCCGCAAACACCACGCAGTTCAGCCAGCTTGTTTCTAAAAATAACCTTCCGTATCGGTATTAGTCGATTTTCGATTTGTTTTTCTAAAATAAGATCCTGTATCGGCATTTGCCGATTTGCGATTTGTTTTTCTAAAAATAGCATCCCACAATAATTATGAGTTAATGACATAAAATAGCGCAATTATTTTGTACAGCCAAACGGTCGTAATAAGGCTAGAGTGAACGACGAGGAACTGAAATCACGGATCATCGCACGGTATAGTTATGTTGATAAGGACGCCGATTCACGTGAGCATCGTCCAGTCACCCCGAAAACGGAACCAAAAAAATTAGTACGTTATCTAGATAACAAGATCGTAAGCGTAAAGGGTGAACGCTACACTGAAGTGAGAAGAGGTGGTGAAGAAGAAGATGGCAATGAAGGTGGTAAAAAAAGAGGTCATTGCCGACCGTAACCAGTCCCTTTGCCTCCACCACCTGATCCACCCCCTTGGAGGCATCTGATTTTGAATTAAAGCTTTCACTTAGATTCTCTTGCCTTGCTTATAAAGGAATATGGACAGGGTGTTGAGTTTCTACATACTTAAGCACTATCTTTTTGTTCCTTTTTTTCAATTGAATTTGTTTCATCCTCAGTTACTTTTATCGTCTTTAGAACTATTTTTTTTTTTTATGCGTGATATTATACTTATTGTGATTTGACGCAAGAGATTCATAGCATTTTATATCGGATACATGTATATGACGTATTGTTTACGAAAATTTCTCTCTCATGATATATTGCTAATATTATTATTATTATTATTATTATTATTATTATTATTATTGTATTGCAGTTTAAGTACCTGTTAACGTATAATATTTAACTTACGTTTGGAGCTTTTTATTTTTTATTGAAACGATGATTCTTACTAAATGAATTTCTAATTTCTAATTTAGAGAAATTTTTATGACAGTAGTCATAAATCATCATTATAATGTAATTGCAAAAAGCAATTTTGTGGTATTTTATTATTTTTTAATAATTTTTTATAATTTAAGATTTGTGCTGTAATTTAAAAACTTTATTTATTAAGCAAAAAGTGACCACTGTAAGCTCATTGTTTAAACTTGAAACTCAATTCTTGCGATACTATGTCGCATTTTACTTTGCATTTTCACGTGTGCATACGCTTCTTTACTGGTAAAATAATATGCACATTTTATTTATTAAATATGTTGTGTCTCATGTTTTCATCAAATACAGATTGTTGCATTGACTATTACTATTAAGTATATGACATGTGCAAAAATATTTCTCGAAATAGATTAGAATTATATATTTTATAATGTTAATAATAAGATTAATTCAGTTGATTATTTCAAAACATTACTCAAATTGAGTGGAAAATCTCTCTTTCTCTCTCTCTCTCTCTCTCTCTCTCTCTCTCTCTCTCTCTCTCTCTCTATGTAATGGAAAGTACATAAAAAAGATAAAATAATAAGTGATATAACTTTACAAGGAGTTCAGTTTCTTGCAAAAGAACTAAAATAAAATGATATATAACAAAAAAAATTTAGGAATTTTTATATGCACATTTACTCGAAAAAACTGAAAAATTTCAAATAAACAACTATTCTAAGCATGCATAGTTATAATTACTGTCTATAATATAATTGGAATTCGTTAAAACTTCAATTAATTGTAAAAAGGAAGATATCGTTTCTGTAATGGAAATCAACTGCGAGCATATTAAATCCTTTGCTATTGCAAAACAGTTATAATCAAGTTGTAGATTTCGAGAAATAAATTGTAGTATACGTATTAGGTAGGAAAAAATATAGTATATACAAATATATATATATACATACACACACACGCGTGCACTCGCGCGCGCGTCCACACACATACACACACCCCATATATATGAATATATACGTACATACGAATATTATATATACATGTACTAGATATATAAGCGGGATGAAAAGTTGCTTACCGCGCCATATAATTTACCAGTATTACTACTGTTATTGCTATTATTGCAAACTTTAAAATGTAGAAGAATATAATCATTCAAATTTTAGAATATTAATAAAGTCGAGTGATATATACTTGCAATAATATATACTAGAGTGCATGATTTAACAATGAATTCATAGAGATACTAAATTCTGATGATCGTATATCATAACTGCTGTCGATACAAGAAGTGTAATTAATTGGAAATACTAACTTGTATTTTCATATTTTTATTAGGCCCACTATTTAGTTACCGGTGTCGTTGAATTTTTTTACCACTTTTATTATGCATTCTGTTAAGTGCGTGATCTTCCTATTAATGAACATGTGTATAATTTTTTGTTTTTAATATTTGATAATTTTAATAAAAAGAAAGGAAAAGGAAATACATATACATATATACACTTGAACAACTTGCAGTTGCGCCGGCCCTTGCCATAGGTGATTTATATAATACTACAAAGGAGTCGTATTATTTCTAATAATTGTAATTATTAAATGATGAATATATTGTATCCACTGTAAACTAAATGTACTCTACTGCCGATTAATCTCAGACAGAAACGACATTGTTATAAGATTTCCGAAAGTATGTGTAATAGATTAAGATAATGGTACATTAAAGAAATGTTTAAAAAAAGAATTTAAAAAAAAAAGAAAAAAGAAAGAAGAAAAGTGAAAAAAAAAAATAAAAATAATAGGATAAGCATTTACCATAAAGTGGAGCACTTTAGTTTTATGCGAATTTTTCTGTATACCTGTTAACGCAACGTATGACCATTATATGTAATTTTTGATCATGAATGTGAAATTCTGATCAATTGAAAATTAAGCTTACCTACGCACTTATAAACAATTTTTGTTGATAAATGTCCATAATTGTCTAAAACGACAGTCTGTAGATCATTTTGTTATCTACTATAATACTAATTCGAATACTTAGTCTGTTATGTTAAAAACATTTTATTGATATAAAAGTGGTGGTAAATTTATTCTTAAAAAACAGTATAATTTAAACTATCAAACTATATTATTATTTAAACGATAATATATTATCTTTGTTGCAAAATTACAAATAATAATTAATTATTATAAATATATACGAACACTTTCTTTTTTATAGGTATTCTTTGTAAAGAGAAGAAATAATTTTTAAATTAATTTATTTGTTTCTTCATGATTTTTATTTAAATGATATTTTATGATTAGAAAGAAATATTATTGTCGGTAGTATTTAAAAATAATACTACATTTGAAAGCTAATTGATAAATAAATATTTAATTAATAATTTTATTTATACTTTGTTAGATATTAAATTAGAAATTTTTTTTGTAATTAATCATCAATATAATAAACCATAGAACTTAATCATTAATTTCGATATGTATTTATAACAAATGTAACTATATTACTGATTAAAATATTCTTAGAGTTATAATCATGATCATTATATGATATAAAAGTCTTTATATAATATATTTTCTGTTATAATTATATAAAATCAATAATTTACGGTTTATAATTAATAGTCAGAACAGTAATTCGATAAATAAACAGCCTTTCATTGTCGCACATTTTATTGATTATCGGTTAGCTCTACGTATTGACGAATTTTTATGTAAGAATAATGAAACTTTAATTTCTTGTATATTATATCTAATAATTAATTAATGACAATTAAGCATGGGAAATGTTATTAAAAAATAAATAGTAATTTTAGGTATTTTAAGAATTTTCAAATGCACATATTGTGCCTACTGACAATTATTTGTAATTTATTTGATTTTATTTTAAAAAATTATTGAGCAATATTATATTTTCTATTTGTATACATATTGCAATATTATATTACTGATAATTATGTGCTAGAACTTGATTTAAAACTAAGTAGAGTGATTTAAACCTTTTCTTTATTGAATTACTAATAATATTGGAGTTCAATAAGTATAACTAAGTTGTATAGGAATACAAAAATAAAACCAGCTTTCTTATATCGTTCTTCGTCTCTGGATACATTTTAATCCGTTATTTAAATCATACATAAGGTAATTAATAATTAACAACTATACACTGGATTTTCATATGATATGGCATATGATATTTTATTCGTGAAACGAATTACAATGCCTTTTGAAATCGTAGCAAATAAATAAAATCGTTCTCGTAATATTTCATTACAATTATCCATGTAAAATTAAATCAAGGTACGCGTGTGGTTGTGTGCAATACATACATGGTGGCGAGTGTAACGTTTCCATGATAATTAAGTATATGTATAAAAAAAGATCTCGCTTTTCTTCAATTTTATTAACGTCGAACAAGGATTACTTTGATGTTTATGAGACAGCAAATTGAAACAGGTTATCCGATATATATATAAATATAAAAAGCTATCATTTTGAGGTTACCTGCGAAATCATTTTCGAATACCGCTGTCGATCCATTTATGCGTTCGTTGATATTAATAAATATGCTTTTTTCTTATAGTTAATTAATATTTTTGTATAATTCCTAAGCTCTATTGATTATCATTAAAAAAACGCGAGTCGAATGTATTCATATTGAAATGTAGATCGCAGGAAATGAGAAAGGCGATGTTGCGACGTTTACAGGTCCCCTTAAATTTGAACAATGATAAATCGTCGATGTTGGGAAAAGAATGAACGATGGAACGATTGTTATATTACGGTCAAGTTCATGCTCTTTGAAATAACAATCGGAAACATATCTTTGTTCCTTTATTGTTTATTTCTTCTTCTTTCGCGGTTTGTCTTGCGGCGCAGGTAGATTTTCTTGTTTCCGCTTAGACGCAGGTTTTGCGCCAATATTACCACCTTTCTTTCTCCTTTCCTGTCGTTCTCGTTCCTCTAATTCCTGATTTTCACGTTCGATTAATGTGATCAATGTATTGCATCGTCGTTGGAGTTCCAAGGCCGTGCGTGATTTTACAAACCAGTCAAAGCGGAATTGTGGTGCCGATCTGACCGTGGCACGAAGCTCTTCGTATACATTCTCTTTGTCAAAGCCAAGCTTATGTAACATACACACAAGGAATCGGTCTTCCTCTTCTGTGTAATTCTTACCTTTATTCGTACCGTACGCTATCCTTAATTGATGAAAGGGAGCACGGTACCTTGCCATTTTGGCATCTAAGGCTTTCTTGATACCGGCTCGTCTCTGTATTTTTGCTTCTCCACGTTCAATCTGTGCCATTACCCTGTCTATATCTTGTAATTCATGACAACGTTCCCAAAAAACAGCCGAATATTCCATGACTTCTTCAGGAGTTTTACCTTCTACTTCCTTGGCTATATTTTCAATATCATCCCTACCATATTTTTCATTAGCTTTTATAAATTGATTGAAATCCCTTTTGGTCCAGTTTGTGAAACCTTGAGTAAGCAATTTTTCTTTTTCTACAACCTCTTCATCGGTCAATGGTTGAGCTTCGTCTATCTTACGCTGTTCTTCTTTCTGAATTCTGGCAGCATCTGAACCAAGTTCTGGATTTTTTGGAACTTTATACCCCACTGTTTGTCGGAAGTAGTATATTTCTTGATCAAGTAACTCGAATAATCGTGGCGGAAAGAACTGGAAGTCCTGGACGATTGGTTGTTTTGGCGGTCTAGGTGCTTTTGGGGCTTTTGGCTCCGATACTCTGAGAGCTTCTCTGAAATAAGCATCAACCGCATAATTGGCTTTACGTTCACGTTTTGGTGGTTCTATCCAGTTTCCAATTCCAAGAATCTTTTGTTTTTCGCGATAATCCTCTCCTTCGAATTGATAAACAGAATCTGTAGGTGCATCTACGGTAAAGTTACGCAGTGATGATTCACCTAAACTTTCCAATTTCTGTTTCATCTCTTCGGTTTTAGCTTCACCTTTTTGAAGAATAGTATCTATATCCTCATCTGTGATAGCGCTATCTTTCGATGCAAATACTTCGTTTGCACCGTGTCTGATCATATTCAACATTTCATCTTTATTCAATGCTGTTTGCTTTGCGTCTACCAATCGTCCTTGTTGAATAACTAACTTATCTAAACGTAATTTAACTTCTGCACGTTCTACTATTTTCTCTTCTACTGTGTTTTCAGTAATGAATCTGAACACACGAACTTGTTTTTGTTGACCTATGCGATGAGCTCGATCCATCGCCTGTAGATCCATCTGTGGATTCCAATCAGAGTCGTAAATAATAACTACGTCTGCCGTTGCTAAATTAATACCTAAACCACCCGCACGAGTCGACAACATGAAAATAAATTTTTCACTTTCTGGTGCATTATATTCATTAATTTGACGCTGCCTATCCTCATGTGCTGTGTTACCATCTAAACGACAATATTGAAAACCTCTCCAATGGCAGTAATCTTCTAAGATATCTAACATTCTAGTCATTTGACTAAATATAAGAACTCGGGATTCTTGTTGTTGTAATTTCGGTAATAATTTATCTAATATCACCATTTTACCACAATTATAAACAAGATGCTCATCAGTCGTATAAGGCGGTCCAGGTTCTGCACCATCAAACAAATATGGATGGTTACAACACTTACGTAGTTGCATTAAAATGTTCTGCAGCCTCATTTTTTCAATTTTTCCAGCACCATTGACTATATCTATGTCTTTCATAAGTACCTTGGTATACCATTCTCTTTGCATTTTACTGAGTCCAATATATACCTTAATTTCTTTCTTAGGTTTAAGTCCTTTTTCTACCTCAGATTTCAAACGTCTCAAAAGGAATGGTCGAAGAACAGCATGTAATCTTTCAACTAAGGAATTATCACCTAAGAAACTATTAGTATTAAACCAAGAATCAAAATCATCTGAACTATTAAACACGTCTGGTAACAAAAAATTGAGCAAGGACCATAATTCATGAAGATTGTTTTGTAAAGGTGTTCCTGTTAATAGAAGACGATTGGCTGTTTTAAACTCTCTCAAAATTTCTGACAATTTTGATTTTTCATTTTTTATTCTATGTGCTTCGTCAATTACCATATAACGCCAGTTAAACTTTTTAAACACTGATTTCTCTTTTATCACCATTTCATAGGATGTTACACAAACATCCCATTCGCCAGGCATCATTACTTCTCTAATAAATGTGTTTCGGGTTTCTGCATCTCCTATGAGACAAACTGCTCGTAAAGTTGGACACCATTTCTTGAACTCGTTCATCCAATTAGCTAATGTAGATTTTGGGACAATGACTATGTGTGGACCAGGAATGTTTCTGAAGTGTTTCATGTATCCCAGCAATGAAATAGTTTGTAAAGTCTTACCAAGACCCATCTCGTCCGCCAAGATACCATTGATACCATGCTCGTACAGTGATATCATCCAATTTAAACCTCGTATTTGATAATCACGTAACTCACCGGATTTGATGTAATGTGGTGATGATTCGAAACGCGTTGTTGGTGCAACGCTAGCATTACTTTCTGCTAATAATTCCTCATCTTCCTCTTGTTCTGTTTTACGATGCCTATGATCACCGGAATCGGTTTTCACTTGATTTTCCGGCTGTTTCCTGGGCCTGCCAGCTTTGATCTTTAACGGACTTCCGGCCTTGTCCTTCTGATTGTTTGTCATAAAATGGGAGAATATTTCAGTCTGTTTTAGTAAATAATCAAATCGTTTACTACGATCAGTCTCGAGTTTTGTTTCGAAGTCTCCACCTCGGGACGACGTGGTCTCAGCCGAAGATCCATTCGAATTATCTCCTGTGTCCCCTGTGTCTGCATTTTCGTCTGGTTTTGACATTTTGGTTATCTTTTTATATACCTTTTATATTTATGTGTAGAATTTCAATTATATTTATATATATGCAACTGAGTGTTTGATTTAACCACGATTATTCGTGTACGAGACCCGGTCTTCGCCGTGACGTTCACGAACGCATAACATCAATCGCCGCCATCTTGCATCGCGTTATCCCTCCAAAACGTAGTTAACGCCATCTATAAGCATCTGTTGACTGTGTCGGTTAGTTGAGGGAATATTTGAACGTATTTCAAAGGAATATTATATGCAAATAGAATTCTGTCGGTAACATAAACGGCTTTTGTTTCTGGATAAAGGTATCGTTGCAAAATGCTTAAAATCATTTTCTATATTTTTTCTAATAATTGATAATTAGTCATAATTATTGTATGATGTATATTTGTAAATGCTTCTATTTTTGTTTTTATATTCTCTAGCTTCGACAGTGCCGTAACTATGCATATCAAGTGCAATGGAGCTAACACATAACGGTTTAAGAAAAGAAAGAAAAAAAAGAAACAATTTTGCTATCAAATTTCCGAAAAATGACAAGAGTTCAAAAGGAACTTTGAAAATTTACAATAGATAGGTAATTAAGAGCCTCACGATGAATGCCCTAACCTTCTGTATCAAAGATACTCCTATCTAACATAAAGCCAAAGCTACTTACATTATATCAGTGTCTTATAAAAGGAAATTCGAATCGGTATACTAAATTTTAACATTCTACTTCCGCAATACTAAACATTCTTCATTTCAAAAGACCCTAATTACTCTAAGTTTCCATATAAATTGGGAAAAACATAGAAAACAGAATTAGAAAAAAAGATGAAATTTGTTGGACAGTGTTATCGACCAGTTTTTTCAAAACGTATCATTGAGTATGTAAAGTAGAATGCAAATCTGTCAGTCTGCAATTCTTACTAAAAATGGATCACTTTTCATCGATATCGTTTCCTAGACAACGAAATCCCGCGAAATAGCAACAAACAGCGCTCTTGACATGGTATACTACAATACTCAATCTTAGTTCGCTTCGTACACGTAGTACTTATTTTTAAGAATTTCGACTCGTTTGTTTCCAAAGGTGGTGTCTATAATATACGAATATTTGTTGAAATTTAAAAAATGTCTGTTGCAGAACAATCAGTTTCAGGGCATGAAATTATTGTGCCATCGAATTTACCATCAATTTTGAAAGAATTCTGTAAGGCAGCTATTCGAACACAACCATACGATTTACTTCAGTGGTCCAGTTCGTATTTTCGAGCGTTGGCTGATGGAGAAGAACCACCAACGAAATTGAGATTGGAATATCCACCACCAAATACGGCTTCCGGTTTGACTCTTGGTTTCCTGAGAATTTTACTTCGGCAGTTCGGTGGTATCGACAATTATTTTAATCTAGATGCTCTTTTGTTGGAACGTTCTATTAGCGATTTGAATACATTATTTTTTATCGATTACGTGTGCTTAATATTCGAAACTATCCTACTCTGTTAGCCTGTGCCGTATATTAAATACTTATGTCAAAAGAAGTAGTAAAATAATTTAATATCGTTATTATAATTTCTACAAATTAAAGACCTTATATTTTTACGACAATAATGGCTAATTTACTATCGCTTAAACATTTATCATTATTTTCGATAAAGAAGTAAAGTCTGAATGGAATAATTTCCAAATTGTTTAAAGAAACTGTTTATCCGTGAAAATTTGTTAACAAATAATGCTCTTCGAACAGATTACAATAAGTCGTTACCTGTGGAAACAATACTAAGACGATGGGACTGTCTGTGCTTGGATCGTCGAGATTTGAATTTGATTTTAATGATTGGAAAATTTCGACGAAAATGCCAAGTGAAAAAATTTTTAGCCATCGCTGTTGGACTTTTAGGCTCCAGTCTTTTAGAAACAATGGTTATGATTTGTGAGTTGTTCACGTATGAACCTGATGGTGGATCGGCTATGGTTCCCGTCACATTGTTTCTGGAGATATATGGGTATATACAAAATTTATAAATCACGTGGCTCTATTATTAATATTATTATTTTCTTTTTTCAGATATCTAGCGGGACTTCGTTGTGACGGAAGTGAAAGAGATCCTGCCGACGAGGATCCAACAGAGTTTATCGTGTGCGATTCAGATTATTTAGAAGATGAAGGGTTCAACAAAGAAAAGTGTTCTCTAGATCGTGCTTGTTCAGTTGCGAGCCAAGATACGGAAGCTGACGTAAATTTAGATCTCGAATTGGTGTCAAGAGAAGATGTTGATTCTTCGAGAAGTAAATTCTCGTAATAATTGTTGTTACGTATATTTTTCACATAATTTAGAAAAAATTCTCTTTCTGTAGGTGACATAACGCCACAATTAAGCGAAAGTTACACCAATCAAAAGAAAATGATCGAAGATGAAGTAAAACGAGACTCCTTTAGCGAGGGAACTTTAAAAATGGAGCCTAATAATGAAAATTTCATTACCAATATTGAGCTAAGCAAGAAAGCAAAATCTTATAGCGATCAAAAGTTCAGTAAAGATGAAAATGCATCTATGAAGAACATGATTAATAGTAGTAGTTCGGGAGAAAGTTATAGTAAGAAACAGAATGTGCGAAGTATGGGCGATGGAAGTGGAAGTGAAAGAAGAAAAAAAAAGAAAGCTATAGATCCAAAATTGCTAAAGTACTATCCAAATATTCCGGGTGAGACAATAAAGAACCACTAATCCTATTCTGCTAAAGTAACTGTTAAAGTTACTTCTCGTGTGACTATTATTATTATATATATAATTCTTTTGTTATGATAACACTGATACAATTTCCGTTTTAATTCGGTATTAGGTATTGGAGCACGTCTATCAGCTGAAGAAGTAGCTAGCGTCGCAATATGGTTAAATGAATGCGCACGAGTACAAAAGGGTATGGTTGGTCCTCGAAATCTTCGGCATATGAACTGTCCTCCTTTAGATAGACACCAGGTATCGGAATCATAATAATACAAAGCAATTCAATATAAATTTGCAAACATTTTCTAGCATTAAACATGTAGTACTAGGAAATAGTTACAAACATTTTATTCTGTTGAAAGTGTCCAAAAGTTATATTATTTAAATAATTTTTTACATATTTATGTTATACTTTTAAAACACTTACATATCTACTTTTATATCAATAAATAATGTCAGAAGAGTAATATTATAAATAAAAGTAAGTAGGAAATTAGAAAATCTAAAAATTTACACTATAATTAATAAAATATATTTAAATATATATAAATATATATAAATATATGATTATTTATATTGAATTGTACTTTCTAACATTCATAGCAGTGATATAACAATGAAATATTAAAAGTAGGATTTGGCACGATCAAAACAATCGCTACATTCTACTAATTTTAAAATATGTTCACAAATTTTTTCGCTATACATTAATCATGGGACTAACGTCATGGATGATTTCTTTGGCATGCATATAAATAATGTATAAGGTATAAGAAATAACGTATAGCTTTATTCAAATGATTATTTACATGATTTTTTAAAAATAAAATAAATACAGACTTTAAAATTAAAACGATATTCAGTGTACTAATATTCTCTGTCCATAATATTTTTAGTGTTTTAACCACATATATAAATTCAGTATAGTTTCTGTGTGTAACAATCATTAATATGACAGTTTTCTAGTAAAAAATTGTACCATATACCAAAATTAAAATGTTAAAACACAGTAAACTAACAGTATTTCAAAATTGTTATATATTTTTAAAATTCCATATAATTTTCTAAATATTAGTTAATAGTAATCAGTCGCTTTGTTTATTTAAAATTTAAACTATATTTGTCATTATGCGCTCATCTTAGAGAAAAATTTATCAAATCTATCCTCCCATTATGTTAAGAAAGGGAGAAACAAAGACAATCAGTACTTCGTCAATATCACAGGAACGTTTTACTTAAGTTTAGAACACGATACTAAATATCTATTTCTTTATATCCGAATATATTCTATAAAGTATCAATTCTTTGCAATCGTACTTTTTAAATCAATTTTTAAAAATGAGCATTACAATTTGTATTTTGTTCTTTCAAATATTAGTTCTAAATTGTGGATGGACTTGTAGATGTAAAACATGTACGAAAAAATATTAATTATCTGTTAAAATAGTATGAATTTATAAAAGAATTATCTTTATGATGTTTTATATATACAACCCGATGTTCCTTAAAACATTTGGAAAAAGTTGCTCTGTTTAAAAGATATCAATATACTTTATATTATTTATCCTATTTCTTGCATTAAACTTACACGAGTAAAGTGGGTAGTGCTCGTATTCTTAATAATCGTCGCACTTGATGATAAAATAAGTGATAAAAAGTAGTAATAAGCAATAAAAGAATAACACATAGTAACAAATTCCTGGCCTTTGTTCGATTAGCTTTCCACTCAAAAAGTTTGTGTCGGTGAGTAAAAAGATTTCGATATTGTAAAGGCAATTCAAACGTACTGCGTAATGGGTAAAGAGAGCGATAAAAATCGTTTAATAATGCCCGAACTATTTCGTTCTCAGAACGCTGAAGAGGATCCATATCATCATTTAAACAAATGAATTTCCTAAAATTTTGTGATATTATTTTAGTTTATTTATTATTAAATCTGCTATTGATAAAAATGATTATAATTACTTACTTTGGATCTTTGCGTATTTCGTCTAAAAGTTGTACTGTTAAAGATACGTTACTCGTTAACATTTCGAATATTTCATGTTTTCCAGCTTTAATTATTTCGTGTGGATAGACTTTTTCTTCGCCGAATTTTGCTTCAATCTTTCTTGAAATCTGTTCACATTTTGCTATTAATTCCTTAGAAACAATTGGCTGTAAAGAGAAAGTTATTACTGTAAATAAAAAACTTTTCATTTGTATTTAAATATTGTTCAAAGCCATTGATAAGGTTTTCTTACAAGAGATGAATCTAAATATCTTTCTCCTGGTGGTGGGTTTAATATTTCAGTAACTTGTACATGATTTGAACAATTCATTATTGCATTTTCAAATTCAACAACGAGATTATAATCAAGAGGTAATGGATAGAGTCTAGATAAAATGGTTCTAATTTCTCTGTCTGACCAAGTGCTGGAAATAATAAATCAAGAAAGCAATAATAGCAATAATGTTTTCAATGATATTTCTGTTATCTTCTATTATTATTATTTTATATTAGTATAATTACCCTGATTTATCCGTGTCAAATGTATCAAATATTTCTTCAATTGGCATTTTTCGTTTCTCACTGGTTAAGAAATAAAAATAAGAGAAGGCAAATTGCATATCCTCAGAGTTTCTAACTTTATGATTAGATGTCTTTTTAAATTCATGTTCAAATTTTTTTTGCATATCAGCAACAATCCATTTATCTATTAAGTGAGGCATATGTGCAGGAACTCTCCTACGTTCGAATCCATATGCCATATTATATATTCTATTCACATATAGCAAAGATTCAGCATATGTATCAAGTTGCCTGGTTCTAAGTTTCCATTGGTCGGAATGATTGGGTTTATGACTGATTTTTATAGTATTATTAATTTGCGGTAAGCTTATAATATCATTATTTAAACGACGTTTTAACTGCAAACGTCTTTCAGTGATATTTGACTTTTGAAGTTTTATCTTATTTATCATTTTTGATAGCATTGATTTCTGAGTAGATATGACTTGATCATTTTCGTTCAATTGTTCATTAAAATATTTTTCAATGGAACTAATGTATTTATCTTCAGAATTATAAGATTTATTTACATTCAACTTTAAATTCACAGTTGTGTTCGATAATGTTTGTTGAGTAAATGGTTCTGTATCATTCAATATATTACCTATGCTTCTGTTCCGTAACATATTTAAAAATTTTAATCCATAGTTAGCATCTTCTAGAGGGTCTTGTAAAAACTTGTTTGGATAATCTCCTTCTTCCTCAAGGGCTTCACTATCAGTAGGAACTGGTGTACTATCACAATCTCCTCCTACAAGAGAAACTTGAAAAATTAATTTAAATACAAATATATTATTATTAAATTCCTAAGTTATAGATTTAATTATTATTTGAAAACAAATGTAAACATGAATTCTACCATCAAATTCACATAATGTTGTATTACAAGCAGGATCACATGATCCATCACCCACCCAGGCCCAAGGACAAACATCTGAACAATCAGGAACCCACCATGCAAGATATATTTTTTGACCATTTGCTTGAGTAATGAAATCTTCTGGCCACACTTCTGCTCCTAACATTACATCATCATTAAAATATAAAAATTTATCTGAAATTCCAGGAATTCTGCAGAAGTAAAAATTGCAATGTTGAATAAATTACAAGTAACTATTAACTTTTATAAATTGATAAATCTAATATTACCTATGAATATGGCTTTCAATAGCTGGACTAGAAAATGTTGGAAGATCGCTTTTATTTAAAAATATGTCTTCATGAGTAACAAGAGTAACTTTAGGATTATCCATATCCAACCAACTTGGGATTTGGCCATTTGTAACAATATACACATGTCTCACCCATGGTGCATACATTTCCAATGAACGCAATGAATATCTCAATTCATCTTTATCGCTAAATCTGGAAGCAGCTGTATTAATGTCCATAATAGGAACATGTTCTTTAAGATTTTTTAAAAACACTGGATCAGAGCCATTAACCCAAGTATACACAACATCTATTGGAACATGTTGACATAACTTCTTTTGGAAGGAGATACCTAATATATTGTCATTGAAGGAATGAAACACTGCTTCATATTTTTCTTTACTCCAAGTTAGCCACATCTGAAAGATTTGCATTTAATTAAAATAAATGTTAAAAACAAAAATTGAAATTTAGGAAATTCAAATTCGAAAATTCAAAATATAAATTTAAATTCAAAATATGCATAAAAATATTATTAATGTTTTAAAAATTAATCACTTAACAAAGTACATTCTACGAATAACAATAAAACAGAAATTTTTAACAATCAATAAAATAAAATTTGGTACAAGAATAGGGAAAGTAAGTCACCTAACCTCTCCAAAATGAACAATACCGATAAATATGCAAGTAAACGCTGTTAATATCACTAGTAGTGAATATTTATATGAAAGAAGATCGTAACATCGACGCTGTAATAATTTCCATGTGCTCATTATATTGATAAAAATTCTGCATGCGATTAACATCGCTAAAATTACTGTACGAATCCATATAACACTGTTTACACCCGGTTGATTTCAACCAGTGCAAACTTACTGGTATCGATGCAGAAACAATGTAATTACAAAAGAGATAAAGCACACATCTAATATAAAGTATATCTCAATGCTTAAAGGTTCAAGAGTTATAACGTTGTTAAATACATGATTTACAAATCAACATATAAATCAAAATAATCTTTTAGTACAAATGTTATTTAGAAAAAATTGAATTTCGAACAATTTGATATATTAAACTACATTTATTTCTTGCTATCTTTAAATTATAACACGAGTATGTTGTTATTACCAGATAATTACTTTTTATTTTCTTGAAAGATTGGGAGCCAGAGTTCAAAATTAGATCGCTTTTATTCATAGATGGAAAATAGTTACATTGAGTGCGCAAATCGAATATATAAAATATTATCTTCATATCTCTGTATAATTGAAACTTTTATACATTTTATTATTTTGTGAGATATATAATAAAATATTGGTTTAGTAAAAAATATTACGAGTTTGTTATTATAGAATTCGTATAGAAATTAGTAATCGAAATTAGTTTGTATATTCTGTCTTAATTAGGGGACTCCTTAAACTTACACTTAGAAATGGTGCATAAACATTTACAAATACTTTTGTAGAACGATATTGAATGGCATTATTTGAACAAGAAACAACTTTTGTTTGTAGAATGTACACGATATTTAATATGAGATTATTAGGAACAATTATATTATTGCCGAGGAAATACTTTGTATAATATCGATACATTCAGTCATCCTTTGTATGAAAATTTGCCTAAGCGTAAATAACAACTGTAACATGGATGCCGGATATATCCGACGTTCGTACACATAGGTTATTAGATGGATGTCGGATGCATCCGGCACTTGACAGACAGGACATCAGATGGATGCCGGATAAATTCGGTGCTAGTACCGAAAAGGTAAATAAATCGAATATTTTGCATAAACATGCCTATTATTGATACTTATAGATATTACTAGACTATATCATCGAATTTTTTGAATAACTTCAGAGTGAGGTTAGAAACGAACTTGCAAAATGAAATGAAGATGATGAATCACTTTCCTATAAATCCTACTTATTATGTTTCTTCTTTATGATTTAAATTTGGATAATAATATTAAAATGATCAAAAGGTGATACGTAATGTCATTGCCAGTAAAATGATTATACTCAATATTTGAGTAAATTGATGTATCCAGTAAAATCTGGAAAGGAAAAGAGAATATTAATCACATATATGAATATTACTTATTTAATATTTATATTACTTTTTAATTTTCTAAACGACAATGTTAATATACTCACACTAACAATCGACTTCGACCTATACTTGCAGTTTTAGAGTCTTCATTTAAGATGTATTTCTTAATTCCTAATATGTAATACTCCATGTAGGTGTCCCAATTTAAATTTTTCATGCTGGCAGTGAAATTATTACAATCATCCAATGTTTGCATCTTCTTTAATAGACCATCCGTGTTATCCATAGAGAAGGTAAATTCGTTCATGGTGAAGTGTTCACACACTCCCATCATACGTTCGCAATATTTAATATTTTTTAGCATCCTAATACAATTTTTACCACAGACATTAATTATGAATTATAAATTAATAATCAGTAAGAAAAAAAATCTGCTTTCTTTTTTAATTTGCAATTGTTCGTTACCGATCGATACTCACATGGGCTTATAACCTAGGATTTTTAGAAAGGTGTCGATGAGTAATGCGGGGAAATAGTGTAGAAAAAACGATAGAATGTTGTATATAAATCTGTTGCTTATAATTTTGCAACTTGGGTACCACACTAAGTGTTTCAGTGGTGATTTTATGACGTGCTTCTCAACCAGTGTTTTAAGCATACCCCAACTGGAGAACCGAAATATTTATACTTAAAAAATTGTAAGTAGGATGGAGTTTATATTAGGATATCTCAGAAACTATTGCCAATTATTATATTATTAATAGTTATTTCCAATTATCCAAGGTACATCTATGCACGTTATTGGAAAGGCTTTTCTATATCAAATTAATTATATTAATATATTCCTTATTTATTTGCATTTTGAGTTAGGTTAGGTATCGTTCACATCGCTTCGATAATAAAAAAAAATTTTATATAAAATCGAAACCGTGTCGGATATGATCGTTAATGGATTGAAGCCTTGAAATGCATAGAATTTTACCCGTTACTTAATTAAATCAGATCGGTTAAAAAAGAATTCTGTAATAAGTATTACTTGATAGGATTCCCATTATTTGTACAGTTGTAAACTTTAATGGTATTATCATGGCACACCGTGTTGTACCACGTGGCGCATATTATCGTGTTAACCACGTAATCAATAGGCACCATATCCAGATTTAAATACGATTTGCCTAGAAACGTTCTGATCACACCTCTGCCGATCTGTATTGCGATTCCTGTGATATCAAAATAATTCAATAATTAATCATCTTGTATGTTGAAATGTTGAATAAAAAAAATATCGAAGATGTATCGAATAGATTAAAAAAAAAATAAGAATCAAAGTTGTAAATAAAAGGTTTTTCAATTTTTATAGCGACGATTTTGCAGAATTCTTTAATAGATTTCTTTAATAGAGTTTAAATAGGAAAGACGTATCTTCGTGTTAGTGATTTTTTTAATTAACATTTACCGTAGTCTCGTTTTGTTGTTAATTAATTTCTTCCCAGAGTTAGGGTATATTTGGTGATTAGGTTCGATCGTGATTACAGTTTATTTATAAATATAAAAAACGTTCCGTTAGCAACATTGTAAAAATGTCTGAAAATACCTGTAATTCCAAAGGTACCGTCTATCCATCCGGGATATGGATCTCTCATAGCTGCAGCGATTATACTTGGTCGCACTATCGAGATAGGCAAATCTTTAGCATTCTTGAGTATAAGTTGCTCTGCTAAATTTTTCGTGAATGTGTACGTGTTCGGATGATTCTTGATAATCTTTTTCTCTAGTTCATTGAGAACCTCGTCATCTAGATTATCGCACAAATCGATTATCGTAGATGGCTCTATGCTCGAGCTGCAATATTATCAATGATAAGTGAACATTCTTGTTATATCATAATGCACGAGTCGAGGATGCAAAGTAACTCGATTTATAAATTAACGAAGAATATATCGAAGGACTATTTTAATATTTAACTCTTTTGCAGAGATCCATTGATAATTTTGCATGTAAGATTTGAAAAATTTGCAATTCTTTTCACTCAAAGTTTACAACTATTAACACTTAGCCGACCGATCGAGGAGATCTCCCATTTTGACCTTAGCAGCGCGTTTCTCGTTTTCGGTAATTACTTGCACTACCTCCATTTGGAGTTGTCCGCAATTACTGACGAACTGCTTCTATAAAGCACAAGATATAATAAAGTTCACCAATTTTTAAGACCCCTTATTCGGTATTTCCGAAAAATGCAGTTTGTGTTCCCCGAGCGCGGTGGAAACCGTATAGTTCGTTCTGGGACGTGCGGTCGGTTAAGTGTTAATTATAAAATTATCAATCATCTTTGTCGTTCGTTCATCGTTCTATGCGTTTAACGTGTAACATATATCGTTTTATACTTGTATTAATTTATGCTTACGGATAAATCGTTTCATTGACCTCCAGCCGATTTGGATTACTGTAAGCTGTACTAACGTGGACGACACTAATTAGATTCTTTATGTCCTTGCATAAATCTATCATGCGATTGGTGCCTTTCGTGTTCAAATTAACGGCTACTTTCAACGGTTCGTTGAATCTCACTGTGGCCGCACTGTGAAACACTATGTTCACTTTCTGTGTTATTAAATTTCGATCTTCCGGCGAAAGACCCAAGTTTGGCTGAGCCACGTCGCCCTTTATGGGGATGATTTTGTTACAAAGCGAGGGGTTGGTTTCCTTGATTTGATCGAAAATCTGTACGAGAGAACAGAAACTTGTTAAGAGCTGAATTTCCACAAAGCGTTTATAATTTTTTTATTATTCCATAAAGATTTGTATTTTCCAATATTTCGTCTACGTATTTTAACCCTTTGCACTCGACGATTTTTTGGTTAGAGAAGAGTAGAAAATCGAAGATTCTCTATTAAAAAACTGACGATACTTTTTTCAGCAGTAAATAAAGAATTGTAGAATTATTTGATTTCGATATCTTGCACACTGTTACATTACATTAAATTTGATGTATTAATTAATATCGATCTTCCAAATTTTATGAAATGCTGACTGAGGGTCAGATCTCGAGTGCAAAAGGTTAAGTTCATTGCATTGCTTCAAAAATCTATTCAATTATCTACTTTGTCCTTTTATTAGGAGAAAAACTCGTTTCTAGAAATTGATCTTTTAATGAATTTTTACTTTATTCCGGTTTACTCGTCTGCACGTTTTTAATCCGCTGCTCGAGTGATTTCTTAATGAAAACAGTCGTGTTTGCATTGATACTTTTATGGAAACGATTATACAACAGCGTGTTGCGATTCGTTCGATGGTACAACACACGATGGTATGTACATATGTACTGTTACGTTGAAACTTTCATATTTATATCTGCTCCACGTTATATGCTATACGTAATCGATAGTACGATAATTTGATTTTCTATTCATTCATAATAATGCTTACGATACTCTTTATGTTTCGCGTAATTAATTCTTGTTTATTCATTACCGAGTCTCTAGCGATCGCAGGATTAATTAATAATCGTAATTCTTTCACACAGGTACCTTCCATCAACGGGAAAGTCGTGCAAGGTCTCGAATATCGATCTCGAAGAAACTTTACGAAGAAAGATGGAAGATCGTAAAATATTTCGTCGTTAAAATAAATCCATACCTCGTTGAGAAAGTATCGTGATTTATTAAATGTTTAATGAAGAGGATAATATTTTACGAGATGTCAAAAGTAGTTTCAACGGTGACGAATAATTGACGTGGCAAAGTAATAACTGGTAAGTAATAAAGTAAATTTACGTATACCTAAGTACTACGAAAAGAAAGCTTTTGATTTCAAAAGCGAAACTGATTTTTTATATACCAACAATCGAGTTATCGATGTGAAAAATCACTCGTTTGTTAACTATTATGACTCAAACGTTATTCGACTATTTATTAATTTTAGACGTTAATTGAAACCATAGTCAATGATTTTTTACATACCAAAAATCGAGTTATCGATGTGAAAAATCATTCGTTTTTTAACTATTATCACTCAAACGTTATTCGACGATTTATTAATTTTAGACGTTAATTGAAACCATAGTCAGCGATTCTTTATATACCAAAAATCGAGTTATCGATGTGAAAAATCATTCGTTTGTTAACTATTGTAACTCAAACGTTATTCGACGATTTATTAATTTTAGACGTTAATTGAAACCATAGTCAGCGATTCTTTATATACCAAAAATCGAGTTATCGATGTGAAAAATCATTCGTTTGTTAACTATTGTAACTCAAACGTTATTCGACGATTTATTAATTTTAGACGTTAATTAACGATTTTTTATATTCCAAAAATCGAGTTATCGATATGAAAAATTACTCGTTTGTTAACTATTATAACTCAAACGTTATTCGATGATTTATTAATTTTAGACGTTAATTAACGATTTTTTATATTCCAAAAATCGAGTTATCGATATGAAAAATTACTCGTTTGTTAACTATTGTAACTCAAACGTTATTCGATGATTTATTAATTTTAGACGTTAATTAACGATTTTTTATATTCCAAAAATCGAGTTATCGATATGAAAGATTACTCGTTTGTTAACTATTATAACTCAAACGTTATTCGACGATTTATTAATTTTAGACGTTAATTGAAACCATAGTCAACGAAGCCAGTGAATAATTGAAGCTTGATTATCCGATCTACAGTGCAGAGTTTATGTCTTTTTCGAAAGTTTCACTTTAACCCCTTATGTTTGCACGAGATTCTTCATATCGTGATAAACAATCGTGAAATCGAACGAGTTATCAATTATTATGAATTAATTATTATAATGAAATAATTATGAATTAAATAAATATATATTGAAAAGAAGAAAAATATTATTTACGGACGGGATTTTTCATGAGTTGCTTGAGTCGTTGCTCGACTGTTTGGTTTAATTTCGGCCGGATTAGAATAAAAATGGCGGTTAGACGGGGACACGAGCGCAGCAACTTTTCCATAAGAGCTTTCCCCAAGAAACCGGTCGCTCCGGTCAGCATGATCACCGTGTTGGCGAAGAATGCCTCGATGGAATTTTCGTCAATGTTTACGTTATCATTTCTACATTTTTCATTGCTCAGTACAGTTGCTGTGCCCATTTTGCAGGAAGTTCAAGCGCTCTCGGCTCCGATATCTGTAACAGAGTGAAAGAAAATTATACTGTCGGATTAGATCGTAGTTTCTATCTGCATAATTTTCGTTCTACCTTCAAACTGATTCTTTCTGCGATTCGTATAAATAATTCGTATTCTCTATCTTATCTGAACGTTTTTAGAAAATTTCATCTTCGGACAAATTTCTAAATTATATCTACGAAGAGGCAGTATCGAGAACGATGATTTTTAACTCCTCTTAGGCGAATCGAACGAATCTGTTTTTGAAAGATGCGTTAGTTTTCGATTGCACCGTTCAATGTGCACTCCATCTCTCAGATGATCGACGAATTCTGACAATTTGTTCTCTGCTTTTATTAAAAATCCATGTTTAAGCACCGCTGCTAACCTGTCGCTATTTCACTCTCTTACTCTTCGAACGGAAGAGTTACTTTTTCTTTTAAGACTGGTATAAACCGGCACACTTTCTTTCAAATGTAAGAATGAGGCTTCTTTTATTCACTTACGTCTCGTGTTCACTGTCACGCATAATACGATGTATTAGTTCCTTTCGAGCGCTGTTTCAATTTCGAAAACGTAATCTCGAAAAATAAATTTCGGAAAACGAAACGAACGAAATTATAACTTTCTAAGTGTTCTAAGGAAAAGCGTGTTGCAAAATTTGACTTCAATTCAACTTCAAAATCGAACAATTTTTCGTTTATCCGATGGTCTTCTATCTTCCGTCTTCACAGATTCGACCAATAAATACTTTATGTATGGATTTCAACCGGGCACGCGAGCTATAATACACGAGTGGCCAGCATGTAGAGGCACTTCTTGCATATTTAATTAGCAGATCAATTCATATGGAGGAAATGAAGGTCCACGGACAAATAGTACACCGAGTGACCTTGTCCTAGAAACAAGAAGCTTTGTATCAAGCGTTACAAATGCCGCTTTCTTCGCACAGCTCGACCTGGAAAGTTCTTTTACTAAACGGATTGGCTATTGCACGCGAAGCTTAGCAGCGACACTTACGAACTAATTCCTTCTCAATGCAAGCTAATTCCTCAAGGATCATTACGTATTCCTCGAGTTTCTCAATCCTGCTTTCATGCCAGAAAGACATAGAAACGTTTTTTTAAGAATTCAATTACTATACGTAATTACGACTGATTAAATCGATTATGCTTAACATGCTATACCGATTAATTCCGCTTTTCGAATCATTTGAAATTTTATCGTCGAAACGTGTGCTCGATATTTCATTTCTTTATATTCAACACAAATTTCTCTCTTTTGTTTTATGCAATTGGTCGATTTGGCTATGATTTATCACTAACATTGACATATTTTTCGATATAGTAAGAAGTATCATAGAAAAAATAAAAGTAAATAGAAATATCAGTTATATAAAAATTAATAGCAAAATGATCCTTAAACGAAGTTTCAGTTATTATCTGACACGACATTCGAAGGTTCAAAAATTAATTTTTCCAAATTAATTTTTCCTTCATCGAATTGCTCATTCATCTTATCGAAATTTACAGATTATCGTTCAACATTCGCGAATTTCTCGTTAGAACTGGATTGCACGACGAGAAATTCCAATGCAAGGAACTGAATTGTCTTTGTAAGAAGAACGTTTCGAAATAATAGAAAATCTGCCCGAGTGTAACCAGTACTCACGAAGGCTTTTCAAAGTATCGATTATTTCTCGATCCGCGCTTACATTTTGCGCGCGCACGTAATCGAGAAAATTCCTCACTCCAAATTTGCCAATTCTTAACCGAAGAAAAATTTCTATTTCACAATGGCGTAGAATAAGCTCGTTGTCGATCGAATGCCATATCGCGAAATTTGCATATATCGAAAATTGATGTCTGTCACGACGTCTCGCATAAATTTGACTATGTATCGAATACGATTGACACGTTCAAAAGGAAAGAATTTTTTCAAGCTTTCCTCGCGAATGATAGAAAACAACTAGTCTACGTAAAAACATATTTACCCACGTGTAGTTTCATTTCACACCGGTGAATTTTACGATCTCGAAATATCTTTAAAGTCCTTTGTTCTCCAGCAGAAATGATCATTTTCCACCTTAAGTTGTATCACGAGTGGTGGAAAGACAATTTTCATTACACACGCGAATTATTTCGCATACGTAGCGCGAACGCGTTTCATCTTCTTCGTTAACGTCGTCGTAGAAAGTAACAAAAGAATATTTCTGATCTTTTATACCCTATTTGTAATTTTCAATCGAAGCAAAGAAGGTAAGAGTTGGAATGAACAGAAATTGGAATATCGAACTTTTATCCTGTTTTACGGACGGTTTTTCGATGCCAGGAAATAACGAAACACGATCAAAAGAGATCCGAATAAATTAATAAACTATTTGCACTTTACAAGCTATCCGTTTTGTCTTCTTTACGCAATTTTCGCAGGGAATGTTCGCAGATACGCGTGCTTTACAATCGAGAACGTTCCGTAACGACGGAAGGGTCGAGACTGGTTTTCTCGACCTTCGTCGAACGATTCTCGGCTGCTAAGAACCAGCAGATCATGACACTCGAAGGAACTATATTTTCAAGTCCTTTTTCCCAGATGTAACACACCGATAGATACGAATTGACGTAGATCGATACGATTTTTCGGCTATTTAGTAAATTTTTATAGCGTAATTTTAAGAATACGCGACCCCAATTATCACGATGTTCGGGGTTCGTTGATGTTCCAGGTTCAAGAATGTATATAGACGGTACTGTGAGATTTAAAAGTTTGAAGAAATTTTGTACGTTCTTGTAAAAATTTGATAGTTTCTTTTGGGGATTTTTGTGATACCTTTTAATGTAATAAAAATCGATGCTGTCTTCTATTCCTTACGGAATTCGGAATAATTGTACGATTTTCTAGAAGATTCTGTGATAAATATTTTAAATAAACAGGGTTAGCATTCTAGGTTTTTGTTATATTAGATAGATGATACTATTCAGGGCCGCTGAATATCGAAGTAGCTTTAACGATTGTTTTCTACCCTCTAGTAAGTTACCAAAATTTCAAAATCTAGGGAAAATTGTATATCAAATTTATTTCTTAATTAAACGATGGAATATATAATAGATCTATGATTTTTTGAGTACATTTGTTGCAGAAGTTTATGGTAAATTTGTTTTCGTGCGAGTAGATATCGATTTAGTGATAAATCCGCCACCTAGGTGGAGCTGCTGTAAGCTGCTTCTAGTTACTTAGAGCTTTTCCGCCATAGATAAGCTACTGCGTTTATAATTTACGATAAAATTGTCGATGATTCTATTTAGAGAGATTGCTATCATTTTTTCAGGATATTTTCGTATACCTTTCTATATCTGCTTGTTTCTCAAGCTGAGGGGCACAATTGAATATGCTGGAAGCAACTGTTCCATAGATTTAATTAATGTTCTACCCACACCACTTGTTGAGTGACTTTAGAAATTAATTCTGACTGAGCTCTCTTCCCTTAATTGTAAGAAGATTGCTGTAGCTTTTCAATTTTCGCCTTAGAACAACTTATTTCGTTGTTGTACGCTTAATTTTTTTCATTTCCTGTCCTAATGACATTCTAAAAATACACGCTGCGAAATGGAATTGAAATCCTCTTCGACTCGTTGATATAAAATTATCAAAGAGATCGATAAACGAATAAGCTATAACCGATACACAAATAAATAAGAAAGTCACCGAATTACTATACTCCACATCGAAGTATCCTAATAACGAACAAACGTTTAACACTCCGACGTTAAACGATGTTAAAAAGGGGCCATTTTTGGCATCGCCTGAAAATGAAAAATCTCTTCAGGACTTTTGAGAGCATCTTCCAAGGAACAAAATTTCTTTCATCGCTTTGTCGAGATATGATGGGAAAGTTGTGAAAAATGAGTCGAAATGGTGATTTTATGTAAAAAAACAAATCGGAAATAAAGGATAAAATTTTTTGATTCGAAGCTTCGTTGTCGAGAAAATCGACTCTGAATATTCATGGGATACACCGATTGCTCCATCCGCCATAGCCAAAGTTAGTTTGCACGCGTACTCGGTGAATATTCAAAGTCGATTTTCTTGAAAACGAAGCTTCGAACAAACAAATTTTATTTTTTATTTTCGATTTCTTTTTTCACGTAGAATCACACCCCCTTGTACTACCGTTGCTGGGACAACCTGTATTTGATCAGTCTCATTTTCACATATTTCTACTGATTTTTGACAACTTTCCCATCGTTCCTTGGCAAAGTGATACAAAAATTTTCTAATCTTTGGGAGATGCTCTTAAAGATGGAAGGAATTTTTCATTTCCAGGCAATGCAAGAATGCCTTTTTTTTAACACCCTTCTTTACGGTATTTGTTTTATTTTAATTATTTTTTGAAACTTTGAGGAACTCAAATAAATTTTCTTTCTTTTCTGTCGCATTGTTTGACAATTCGCTATCGAAAAGCGCGCGATACAGGTGTCTTAACGAACAAAGATCTTCCACTTAATTACTTTCACGATTTTCAATCCCGTCAACGATTATAGGCTGTTACCAATCACACTGCTTATTTCGAAATTTTTCATTTCCAGGCAATGCAAAAATGCCTTTTTTAACACCCTTCTTTACGGTATTTGTTTTATTTTAATTATTTTTTGAAACTTTGGGGAACTCAAATAAATTTTCTTTCTTTTCTGTCGCATTGTTTGACAATTCGCTATCGAAAAGCGCGTGATACAGGTGTCTTAACGAACAAAGATCTTCCACTTAATTACTTTCACGATTTTCAATCCCGTCAACGATTATACGCTGTTACCAATCACATTACTCATTTCGAAATTTTTCATTTCCAGGCAATGCAAAAATGCCTTTTTTAACACCCTTCTTTACGGTATTTGTTTTATTTTAAC